TTTTTCAACTTTTAATTTATCTATAATTTAATCCTTAACTTTTGTTAGTTCTTTTTTTATTTTTTATTATGGTAGTTTAGATTCCATATTAAAGAGTGAAAGGAAGATATTTTAAAGCTATATATGACCATTTCTTTTAAAAAATAAAGACTAAATTGTAAATAAATCAAAAGTCATGAGATTGAGTTGTAATAAATTATAATTAAGAGATTAAGTTATAATAAGTTATAGTTGAGAGATTGAATTATAAATAAATTAAAATTTTTAAATTTTATTCTCCCCACGTGTTAACCACACGACAGAAAGCATTCTGTCTAGATGTAAAGCGATGGCATGATGATCTTGCCAGCCACTGGAAAGGGGAAAATTCAAATATGAATTTCAAGGTACATAGTAATTGAATATCCATCCAATAATATTAAAAAACATTTGAATGGAATCCCGCGGTTCTGAATCTCATCCTCTTTATAGTCCCAAATGACCAAACCCATGTACTAAACTTGATACAAAAATAATAAAAAATAAAATTTTAGCAATTGATTCAAATTTTTAATTTCACCTCGTTTTTTCCATGGGCTAATGACTCTCGGATGAGCCGAAAGACTAGAGAGAACAGGATGAATTCATAAACTTCACAATTTATAAAGATAAGTAGTAATAGTAATATTAATTGAGCAATAACCGTCTGGAAAGAAAATGGTGGTAGTTTTGTAATTGCACCTGGCGCGTCGGGTCTGTCGGGTTCGTCATGGCAAGCCTGACCTGGTAAGTGATATGTACTACCTCGGTCCTCTCGCTCATTTCGTGACCTTGGAGCTTGTTAATTTCTGTGGAGTTCGTTTTAGAAATTCAACCTGCTTTGATCATGGTCTGGGTTTCTTTTCCTGATTTCTTTTGTTACCTGATATGTTTCCTGGATATCTTCTTCGTTTTGTTCTGTATTGTGATTCCTGATAGCAATTAGGGTTTATATAATTTAAGAACTATCCGAATAAATACATGCCCGTTGAGCCCCTGATCTTTCCCTTGGTCCGCATTTTTCTACTGTTAGGGTTTAGTCGCCGAATTTGGGTTGATTTTGATCTTGTTGATGATTAGAGACTGAGCAAGCATTTCGAATTTTATGTCTGTCTGGTTAATTGTTTACTTGTTGGATCTTTGTGTTGTTCATTCTGTTTCCTTTTGTGCGGCTGCTTCTCTATTTGAGCTCATAGCAAGGTTACTTTGATTTAAACTGTACTTCACTGGTTAAGTTTCTACTCGTAATCCGATCCCGATCTCGTTCAATAAGTGACGAGTTTTTGTAATTCCATTTGGGCATTGTTTTGTTGGCTTTCTGACCACGGTCCCCCCAAACCAACCCTTCTTTTGACAGGATGGACATGACTCCGAAGATCCAAAGCAAAGCACTGCAGATATGACAGCCTTTGTAAGTTGTCAGCTCTACAGTTTGAAGGATTAATGGTTTTCTATAAATGCAATTGTTACTGTCAATTCCGTTAGAAAGTGATATTTAACACCTGGTATTTCAAAACTGGCTTATTTGGAATTTCAATCCATTATCGATGAGGGATTGTCTTCTGGCATCCCAAAGTCCAAGATGAGAGCGAGAGTATGCAAATTGGTTTGTCTAATGTTGAAGTGGGAAAGCTTTTGCTTAGATAAATATTTTTGTGTTTTTTTTTATGTCAATGAGTTCTGACTTTTATCTGGCCCTTTTGCCTTCAGGTGCAAAATCTTCTTCAGCAGATGGTGAGCTGTTTAGTGTAGACTCTCATTGTTACGTTGTTGGTTATCAGAATACATTCACCCATTGCTAACAAGATTTCTTTTTCCCCAGCAAACTAGGTTCCAGACTATGTCAGATTCCATAGTCACAAAGAATATCCTTTTTAAAATAAGTTAGTCTATGTGCTGCTTTATGTTTTGTGTATTTTGGTTGTGGAAGTTGTGCTGATTTTTTTCAAGTTTTTAACTCTAGCTCTCTTTCCATAATTTTCCAGTAACAGGATTAGAAGGTTAGAGGATAGAATACTAAAGGAGCTTGCATTTCTCGAACCTACTTTTAACATAAGATTTAAAAAAAAAACAAAAAACAAAAAGTCATCAGAAATTTAACGGAATTTTTCTGTATTTGATTTTGAGGTCTTAGTATTCAGAGCAATGACATGTTGTCCTGGTAAAGCGGAACTGCATAATTGCTCATGGCTCACCAAAATATTGGTCTAGGCAGGATTTTATTGATATCTATTTTACATGATATTGTAATGGACTTTCTATCATTGCTGAAATGTTTTTCCTTGACATCAATGTACTCGATGAGATGGGAAACCGTATAAACGAGTTGGAGCAAAGCATCAATGACCTTAAAGCGGAAATGGGTGTGGAGAGCTCACCATCCCCTGTGGCGCCTGCTAAGCCAAAGCAAGAAGAGGGATCTGCTTAAGTCACGTTCATGCTAAAGAACTTTTTGTTATTTTCTTGCATTACATCAGGATTTTGGTATTATGGCATTATCTACGGATGCATAGTGGTTCATTAAGCAGGTGTTTACTCAGGAATGGCTAGAGTGCGTTCTTTTGTATCTAAGTATCTCTTTGTTGGAAACAAGAAACGCGGTTTCCCGACTAATTGATTGTATTTCCCATTTGAGATGGACTTGATTGAGTACTGTTCGTGTGGGAAAGATTAAGGATACTTGATACTTCCATGTCTCATGTTGCGATTATTTTGTAATCCGTGTTCCCAAATTCCTAGCGAGATCTGGTGACCTGCGCTATCAGTGTTACTGTCACTCAGTTTGAGTTCTAATGAGTCGACAGATTTATTGGACGCTGATACAGGATTGTAATCGAGGTAACATGCATCAAATTTGATGTTTAGAGGGCACGGCAATTTTTGGTAATTTCTTGAATGGTTTTTAGGACCCCCACATATAACCCACTCATTGGAAAGAACAGTTCTACTGGCCCTCGTTTTGGGGCTGAGTGAGGCATATTTTGTGAAGATCATCAAATTTGCTTCGCGGATGATAGATACCTCCCGATTTACTCGTGTGTGGCTGGAAAATAGTGACAATGGCATCTGATCATAGAAACTCAACCACTTCTGTACCTTTTTTTCCTTTTCATGGTGACAGTTCAGTGCTTTGACATAAAGAGTCTAGGAACAGACGTTGAGTACATAAACTTGTATATTTAAGATATTTTATTCTAATCAAACAAGCACAAGGATTTGAATCTAGTCTGTAAAGTATCAGATACTTGCTTCGTTAGAAATTATAAGCATTTTTAATTATATTTTATCTTTTAATAAAGTAATTCTTACTTTCAAACTAATTTTATTTTTTTATATTTATTTCTATTAAACACCCTACAATAAATATAAAGTCATTATCAATTAAGACAATGATTACACCTCAAAAAAGTAAAAATATTTTAAGTTTTTGAACATCTAACTCCTCAAAAAATGCCTTATATTTTTTAACAGAGGGAGTACATCCTTATTAATTAGATCAATTTTTGTTGGCTTCTATAACTAATTTTTTGTTATCAGAAAAATTTTCATCTAAGACTCCTTGATTATAGTTAATAAAATAGAGAGCATAAGAAATTCTAAAACATCATTTCAATTCAAAAGTATTAAATTAGAGTGAAATTAAAATGTTGAAGAAAATGACAAAATTAATTTTCTTTTAAATTAAATTAATAAAGTAAAACAACAGTTAATAGAGTAAAGAACAACAGTACATAGGCAAATGAACAATTCATCTTAACATGATGCAATATTTGGAATAAATCAAGTGCATGAAAACAGTAAATGAAATAAAATCAAGTGAGAGTAACATTATAAATAATTCTAGTATGCCGATGAACAACAATATGTAAACAAATGAACAACTCATTTTAACATGAAATCAATCTTTGGAATAAAATTAAGTTAAAGTAACGTTATAAACAACTTCAATAGATCAATGAACAACAATTCGTAAGGAAATGAACATCAGAATCTAAGCAAGTGAACAACTTATTTTAACATGAAAGCAATACGTGGAATAACATCAAGTGAAAATAACATTATAAACAATTCCAATAGGCTAATGAACAACAGTCCATAGAGAAATGAACAATGATACAAAAGCAAATAAACAACTCGTTTTAACGTAAAAGCAATACTTGAAATAAAATCTAGTGAAAGTAATGCTATAAACAATTTCAATTGGCTAATAAACTACAGTTCATAATGAATTGAACAATAGTACATACGCAAATGAACAACTCACTTAACATAATTTAGACATAATAAAATCAACATTAAGTCATGGCACAAACATCGAAGGCAGGGTAATGAACAACTTCATGTATAGAGATGGACAGTATTATGTAGGAAAATGAACAACTTATATTAATAAACTATCAATTACAGGAATGTCAAATGATTTTATCTAGATACTTTGTCCAATTTGTAAACAAGTGACCATATAAAATCTTTTTCTGTACAAATAAATCACTTTACAAAAGGCATTCCATGCCAGATAACCCCATTTATAAAAATCAACTCATATTGGTAAACCCCTTTTATAGAAGACAATCATAAATATATATATATATATATATATGAAATTGGAAGTATTTAATGAAATTTTCCACAAAAGTCCAATATATTGCATTAATAATTATAAAAAGAAAATTAACAACTCAGTGTACGTTAATTAGCAAGTTTGTTAATATGAATTTTGCAAGGAAGAGTGCAATACAGTGGCCGAAATAAATATTAAAAAACATATATAATCTCATTATTTGAATGAGTCAAGAAATTAAGCGCAAATAGAATGGTATAATGATAATAATAATAATGGCGAAATTTACATCAGTGCGCTTGAGAAGGGAAGGAATTAGGACCAAAATTAAGTTGTTCATGAATTCTTATTTTTCTTCTCCTAGCCCCTAAACATAAATATCACAAATTCACAACCTCGTTTCTAAATTCTAAGAGAGGAATTAAGATAGGCGATTCAAAATTTTCTTAGCATTCTCAGTTTCGACGTTCAAAATATGCAAGCAATGATCTTCTCCTTCCACTTCAAGTAAATCCACTTCACCTTCCCGTCCACTTTTCTTCACAGCCTCACAGTACGCAACCCCTTTGTCCCTAGGCTCATCTTCACCACAAAACACGCACAAGCATTCTTCAAAAGCTGCGGGAAGAGGGTGCTCTGGTGTAAGCTTGTATTCGACGGGGACGGCGATGGCATTAGCTTTGGAGATGATGAGATTGAGGTAGCAGTGTTTGATGTAGGAGAAGGCGTATACGAGGCAGAATCCACTGCTGTGAAAGTAGATGAAGATGGGAAGCTTTAATCAGCTGTTAGGCCGAGTGGATTTCGGGAGGTAGATGGTAGATACAAGCGGAGATTGAAGGGTCGTCAGAGATTGGCTCATCCAGTCCCTAGCTTCTGCCATCGTCCGCTGAGTTTCAGAGTGAGTGCGTTGGCGAGAGAGAGAGAGAGAAAGGAATTTTAAATTTTTTGTTTAAAAAAAAATTTGAAAGAAGGTTGATCTTATCATTTGGCTCAACATTTTAATTCACTTTACTATGTTTAGTCTGGAGTCAAATTTCAGAATTTAAGAAGTTTTCTTTTTCATTAAATATGATCGATCGATCTTAAATGAAAATTTTGTTTTGTTAATTATATTAACTTGCTTTTAAATTTAAAACTGGTATGCTTTGACACACACATATACAAGTCTAAATATCCAAAACCTTTCAACACACGCATCGTAGAAGGAGGGGAGAAAAGAAATGAATTGCTCCAAATTTGAGACCTCACACTGAATTGTTCTTTGATATTTTTATCAGAGTAGCGCTTCTCTTTACTCACAATTTTGTGGAGAACGGTAATTTAAAATACATCACTCCCATGTGATTAAACCACTACATCACACATCTATGTCTCAGCCGAAGTTTACTCACCCGGATCACTCCACCTTATATCGCCCAATTTCTGTGAAAAAAGGCGTAACTCATCGAAAAGTTCCCATCAAATGACTTCGGTCACAGTTTTGCGGTCGATTACTGTGGCCCTTGTGATCTGAGGTATGCGCTTCCTTATATCTTCAGTTGAGATTGTCGAAGGTGGAATTTAACTCATTTCTGCGCAGAGGTTTTGCAATCGAATTTGTCGCGTAAGAGCAGCAAATGTTCAATTGTTATTAATGATTGATTTACAAATTTCTGGAGTAGAATGCAAGTAATCATCAATTACTTTCTCCCACTTTTTCTTCTACAGCGGATAAATGAAGATTTCACCGGGCAATGCGAGTGGGAGATAAACTCCAGAAACAGAAATAAAGGGATAGGAATCTCAACAGGGAGGAGCACGCAAGAGAAATAACGGCAAATAGCATAGAATGCAACCATAACCTTGTAATTTAGAAGCTACAACTGCTTTACTAGTCTAGAATTCATTATTAGGACAAAACCTTGCTTATTAACTAAATATCCTGACTATTCGAGTAGGGTATATACTATACAATCAAACGATCAATCAAGTCATTGATGATACAAAAATAAACTTGAAAGAGGCCCTCATGTCTGTTAAAGCCTAGTAAGTATCTTTACACCATCTACTGCGTTTTATTTGACAATATATTACACCGTTTGCATATGGATTCAGTTTTTCATAGATGCATCGTTCTCTTTTCACTTCACTCAAGCGTTTCAATAAAAGGCGGTTTAGTTTTGATCGATGCTTCAAGTGTGACTCCACGATCCCAAGAACATCAAGGTTCTAATCGGATCGTCTGCGCTCGCACGGTGGCTCCGTCCCCGTCTCTCAGTTTGATTACGCAAGAGAAGCCTAGGCTGCTTCAGAGAGTCGGCGGTGACGGCCACCACAGCTGCCTGGTAGACTTGTCGGAGCTTGTCGCCAATAGATTTAGCGGAGTCGTTGGGACGAGAAGCTTCGCCGGAGACAGGATGAGGTTTCATCCTCGAAGCCGTGAGAGGTTGCAATTACGAGGCTGGGATATTAGAAGCCAGAGAGTCGAGCCGTGGGGTCTATAAATAAGGAAATATCATGCTGTGCTGCCAATGCAACAATCTCTCTGTGCATGGTGGGTGGACCCGGATTCCTTTTGTATTTGGATTACAGATCATCTCCACTCTTGGGCACCATGATTAGCGACACCATGTTTCTTTCTTTTTGAATTCCGGGTTCACACTTTACTGCACTTCATACAATTTTTCATTTCACAAGAAATACGGGTTTATCCTTTATACATTACTGTTCTTTTTCCCTTTGGAGAAACATTGCAATAGTTTTAGGACAAATTCTTTTTTGTTTTTTGCCCACATCAACAAAGAAAAAAAAGAACCAGTTACTTTATTATATTCCTTTACCGTTCTTTCATCTTTCAGACCACTTTATAAAAAATTCCATTCGGTGGACCGAAAATCGATATTTCAATTTGCTCTAACTACATCTTATTTGATGTGTATGAGTATCAAAGAAATATAAAAATGTATTTTTTTATTATAAAAAATAATTTTTTATATGCATCGAATACTTCAAAATCAAGCTCAATTCTGGTACCCGATACTTCAATGCATTCTTTTATCTAAAATGAATTACAATATATATTACACTTATTAACAATATATAAACTAAAAACACCCCCACGGTAAATGCGTGATGAATGCCAGCTGAGAAATAAACGCAAAACAGCATAAATTCTTTAGATAAGTTGCCAAATGTCATCAAGTGATAAGACTGATAAAAAGAATCTTACAATAGCTTGTTGCTTGGCAATCGCGGCCTTCTTCAAAAGAAACAGAATAAAATAAGAGATGAAAATCAGGTAGCTATCAAGATATAGATACAGATACAGATATATATATATATATATATATATATATAATGAAAAAAGAACTGCATGTACAAAAGTTGACTAGTTGAGGGGAGGATGCGTGATAGGATCATAGTAGTATTAGATCTATACGTCCCGATCCTAATCTGGTTGGCATATTTGTTTCACACGTTCTCCTTGTTTATAAAAAATAATTAAGTGAATTAACTACACGCTTCTTTATTTTTTTTTTTAAAAAAATTGAGGACAGGAGTCAAACAATTCTTCTTCTTCTTGATGGTCAAAATAACAACAATACAATAACAATAAATCTTATCCCACTGAATGGTGTTATAATTAACATAACTTTTAAGAATATTATTAAATAAGAGGTCTCATGTAATAATTTTCATAAATATTTTTTTATCTTTGATCTTTCTTTACCTTTATTTACAAGATTTAAAATTATCCATTCTACTCTTATTATCGGCCAAATAATAATTCATAATAATAACTTTCTTTTTTTATACAATAACTATTCTAATTTTGTTGGGCGATCTTATTCTTCTTATTTGCATAAGAAGTGGTCAGAAGCTATGCCTTGAAGCTCAAAGTCATGGGCCAGCACAATGGCGCGATCGCTGTCACAGGTCTCAAGATATGGGCCATTCATCACACGGCCCAAGGCCAATTCGATAGTGATCTACATCATTTTTAAAGGACCAGTCTCTTTCCGAATCTCGTCCAAACGGATTTGAGCAAGCGAGACGATTTGCCTTGCTGCGTTTCTCCTGGTTGAATCGTTTAAACTATTAGCTAATTCTTTCCTAGCCTGATTCAAATTATTAATTACTGGGATGAAGCAGATTTCAATTTTTCCAATATTGATGAGTAAAATTTAATAGATATTTATGTATCTCCCAGTTTTTACCTCCCTAAAATTCAAAATCATTTGATATGGATTTCCTTAAAATTGAAAATTCATACTTTAATACAGGCACCGACCTTTTTATTGGCCAACATCGCAATTAATAGTTTCCACGAGGATAAAAACAATGCCATAATGAGTTTGCTTTTTCATTGGTTTCCTTCCTAGTGCAGTTGAAGATACAAAGAAGTGAAATGAAAGGTTAACTCGGATAAATACTAAGAGTCTAGACATGTTGTATTTATAATAAATCAACGAGTACATAATTAGTTATAAGAGGTTATAACTATATAACAGATTCACGTGAGTATAACTGAAACTATACACAATACTAACACATGTTACTATCTAACATGCTCCCTCAAGTGAAGGAGTGCTGGTAAGATCCCGAGCTTGCTTCATAATGACCAGAACCTTGAATGAGACAACGACTTTGTCATGCAATGAGCAAGTTGGACATGTGATGGTACATAGCCTATAACAACACGTCCAACGAGTACTTGATCTCTGATGAAATGAGCATTCAACTCTATGTGCTTTGTATGTGCATGAAAGATAGGATTGCTAGGAGGGGCGAGCAAAATTGAATTGAAATCGAAAATCAAACTGAATCAAATTAAATTTTGTCTATTTGATTTGGTCTATTCAATTTTTCAACTCGATTCGGTTTTTTTTTAATGAAAATTTCGGTTGATCAGTTCGATTCAATCTAAAAATTCAAGAATCAAATGAATCAAACCGATCAAATTATCTATATTTTTTCTATCATATTTTTAAAAATGTGAATAAAATTTCATCTAAGTGAGTAAGAGACATCTTTCTACTACTTGCAGTAATAGTATTTTTTTTATTTAATATGATGTTCTAATTTTTTATTTTTATAATTTAGTTTTTAGTGCAATAGTACTGAATCTTATTAATTTTTTCATAAATTAGAGTATAAGATTATTATTTTTTGTTGGGCTTTCAACATCAAGGAAAAAAAAATTGGATAGAAGAATATATGAACAATTAAATTTCATAGATTCAAATCCAAGCTCATAAATTGAATAAATCGATCGAATTATTAAAATTTAGTTTGATTTTAATTCAGTTCAGTTGTGAATTTTGATTCGATTCGATCCAAATTTCTTATATAATTTGGTCGATCGATTTTAAAGAAATTAAAACCGAACTGATCGAATTGACCGAATACTCACCTGTAATTGCTAGCTAATGCTTGAGCACTTATATTATCGCACCAAATCTGAGGAGTTTGAGACAGTGGAAATTTTACTTTGCTTAAGAGAGATTGAAGCCACATGAGTTCAACAGCCAAATCAGTCAAAGCTCGATACTTGGACTCGGTGCTGGAACGAGATACTACACATTGCTTATGAGAATTCCATGAAACCAAAGAATCTCTAAAGAAGATACAGTACCCACCGATAGAATGACGGTCATTAGGATAGGATGCCTAATTAGCATTAGAATAGCCAGTAAAATTTAAATCAATTGCTTGTTTGATATGTAAACCGAGAGTAGCAGTCCCTTTCAGATACCCCAACACACGTTTCACAGCTTGCCAGTAGATAGAGGTAGGATAGTGCAAGAACTGACTCAACTTATTAACGGCACAAGAAATATTAAGTCGTATTTGAGTAACATGTTGCAAAGCACCTACAACACTACGATATGGAGACGGATCTTGAAGAGGCTCACCATCATGAGTGGACAGAGTTTTTCCAATAGCCATAAGAGTTGGACAAGGAGCTGAATAAAGCATGCCATACCTTTCCAAAATATCAACAATGTTCTTCGTTTGATAGAGATGCAAGCCAATGGAATCACAATGAGCTTCGGTTATAAGAAAATAGTCAAGAGCTCCCATATCCTTTAAAGCAAACATATGATTTAGCTCTTTTATAAAAGCTTTTATTCTCATAAGATCATTCCTAGTCACTATAACATCATCGACATATACGAGCACAACAATGATGTAGCTCTGCTTTTTAAACCAGAATAAGGAGGTATCATACTTAGCATTTCAAAAACCCCACATGAATGAAGTAGTTTGTGACTTTTCAAACCATGCCCATGGTGCTTGCCGTAATCTGTATAAGGCCTTCTACAACTTACATATGTAAGTTGATTTCTACTTGTCTATAAAACCATCAAGTTGACACATATAAATGACCTCGTTAATGGTGCCATTAAGAAATGAGTTATTTATGCCAAGTTGGTTGATAACCCATCCTCGAGCAACATCAATTATGAGAATAAGATGAACATTATGATCAAATCTAAAATAACAATCAGACGCAATGTGACCTATTTTTTCACAGACTTGACAAACAAGTCTTTGACTGCGACCATCACGATCGCATCCACGGTTGCTTCGTCTATTATGACTGTTAGATTGGCCACGATCTCTGTTATCTAAAATATCACTCCAAGCAACATTAGCAAAAGGAGTAGAAATAGAAAGAGAAGACATATTTCAATACATGTCAGGTTGACACTCAAAAGTAAGCAATTCAGATTAGAGAGTAATCTAACTTAAGTTACGACGATTCATTAACATATAAACGATGGAGTTATATTCCAAATCTAATCCACACAAAGTAATGGAAATTAATTCATCATCTGGAACCGCAGCTCTAGCAAGACTAAGTTGATTTACAGGAAACTTGACTCATGTCAAATACTCATCTATTCGGAGAGTGTTTTTGCGAATGCACTGTAGTTCTGCTTTATGCATCAGAACTTTAGATCCAGTGTCAACACCGATCAAATCTCTAGCTTCTATCTAGAGTTCATACAAAAAGTCACAATTTGCAATTTGGCTTCCAACTTCTAGCATCATGCATGCAAGAAGCCATCCTAAGATCATTTGATCTATCGCAATCCATTCTTCATAAGGTGGATTGAGTTTTGAGCAATCTTCAGTCAGCCACTCTATTGGACACTATTTGGTGCTGATAACAAAACCATCAAGGCGTTGGCCTCGAAGCAGAGAAAACACCATCGAACTCCAGTATAAGTAATTTTGTCGATCCAACTTAATATAAGAGGATGATGATGCAATACCGGTGGAAGAAGATGAAGAAGAAAAGGAGGAAAGAGAAGGAAGTTTTGGGAAAGAGGTGGTAGACGGAGAAGCTTCGATGCTCAAGATCAAGGAGGAGGCCATCGGAAAAAAATATTACTGGCTTGTGATACCAAGTTGAAGATACAATGAAGTGAAATGAAAGGCTAACTCTGATGAATACTGAGAGCCTAGATGCATTGTATTTATAATAAATCATTGAGTACATAATTAGTTGCAAGAGGTTATAACTATATGACAGATTCATGTGAGTATATCTGAAACTATATACAACACTGAGACATGGTACTGTCTAACATGTGCCTACAAACACATTGTAGTGGTAAATAAAAGAGGGAACCTGCCATTACACAAGTTAACACTATTGTTTTTCTTTTCAAAAGTTGGGTTGTTTTGTTGAATTTTTTAATTTTAATAATATACAAATAAAATGAGGAAAAGACAATCGTAGGCTTAAATTTACTTAACAGGTGCATGTTTAAAATAGATGCAGACTTCTTGAAAAAGAGGGACAAAAGATACAGACTTAGCATCACTTCGCTCTGTGTGTGTGTGTGTATTATATAATTGAAGCGCAGTAAATATTTTTAACCGCCGGAAATTATTTTCTGAGAGGCACCGTTTTTTCCCCACCTTTGAACTAAAAGAGTTGGAGCGAGATAGCTTTCAAGAACCTACGAGGGGGATGACTAGTTTCATAACTCAAGTGCTTACAAAAATACTAACAAATGACCCTCATCAATAGAGTATTTACGTCAGTAATATAATACAATCCAACACCATTTTGATGTATGAGTTATCTCGGTATCAAACAGCGAGCAGGCTTCATTTTCAAGGGGAACTTGTGTTGCTTTCTTCGATTTTTTATATGCTTGATTCTCTTTAGGTCGTTTTTCTTTCAGCAGATGAACTTAAGTCCTTAACTGCGGATGACGTCCCAGTTCACTTAGTATTCTTCTGTTTTTCAAAAGATGGCATCTCTATCTTCTTGCTCGTGGGCCCATTAATATTCTTAAATCGTCCGCTTTCACCTTATTGATGTAGTCCGTGCGCATGAAGCTCCAGATGCTTTCTTAATCAGACTGTGATTCGTTTTTTGGCTCTGCAATTAAACCGCTACTAAGACATGGTCTTCTGAGCATGGCAGAGAATAATCAAACAGTTATTATGTTTTAAATTTAAATTCGACGAATTCCATGTGCTATTTGGTATTTATTGGATTGGAGCTTCCAGGAATTTAGTTTCGATGGTGAGAAGGAAAAATAATGGAGGTTAATGGGCCAATTGTCAACACATGCATTCTTAGCTCGTAAGTTAAAAAGCTAACACTGAATGGCTACATGCATGCATGGAAGGCCAATTAAAATGGAGCGAAAGAGGGGGGAAAGGCGAACTTTCGTACACAGAAATCTACTTTACAGATAAGGCTGAGAGGAAAAGGGGGATTTAGGGCCCTACACATAGCAGATCAATGGGGAGCCATTGGGCTTTCTAAAGCAACCCCAAAAGGCGGCACTAAAAGGGACAAAAAAAAAAAAGAACGCTGAGGACAAGGCATTAAAGATCCTCCATACCCTGCATCTCTCAACCAATCACCAACCCTTCTTATTTTCGTTCCCAACCTTTTTTTAGCAGATATTACTAAACTTGGATTTTTTGGATGCCGTGCCGGCCTAGTTCCTGAGGAGTTACAGGATCGTACCTGGAACCACTAGATCCAAAAGTTTTTGTACGATATTACTAAACTTAAACCCCCGAACAGTACCTCTCAGCATACTAATACTACATAATATTCATATCCTCCACTTTGCAGTTCACATTACAAAGCATCCACCTTCATATTCATCCACGTGATCATCCCTGTAGTGCTGGAACCAGCCAGGCGGAGGCGACTGTAGGTGAGAGTATGTAGCATAAGCATGCATGGGAGGGGCATAATACAGGGCATTGGAGCTGGGATATGCTGTGTTATAGCTTAAACTGTATGCTTGCGGTATTGCAGGAGAATAGTACGCTGTTGGTAGGTATGAAGGATAGGCATGCTGAATCGGAGGACCATGGTCCATAGCCGCCGTAGAATTAGCCAAGTTGGGGATGGCTCCGGCTGATTTACTTGGTGTTGGATGTGTGGCAGCAGCACCAATCAAATTTTCTCCACCACCTCCGTTATTGGTGGGAGAATCACTATCAGTTTGCCCCTTGTTCTTGTTCTTCTTTTTCTTCTTTTTAGCGCCTCCGCCCCTGTTGCCACCTGTATCTGCTCCTCCGGCCTCCTCACATTCGCTGTCTGCTTTGCATGACTCGGTCTCTTCATCAGCAGCCGTACCATTCTGTTCAATGTCATCGCCAAACGGTTCACTATTCTTCTGGTCTTCCTTTTGCTTATCGCTACCCTTGGATTTCGACTTGTTATCTTTCTTCTGGCCCTTCTCTGGCCATAGCTCTGCTAATTTGCCTGATCGCGCAAGCTTCTTAATTAAAGTGTTAGCGTCCACGTTACCAGTCACCGTAACCTTGTGCTGTTGAGAATCAACCTCAATTGTGTAAACCCCTATAATTCAATGAATGACAACGTATGTCATAATTATTAATACAGTAAAGAGACCGAATATAATTAATCATGAACACACAATAAGATTATTCTTATAAGCATTGTCCCACTAGCTACCATCGATTCCCTGAAGAACTTTCTTGACTTTCTTCTTGCAGCCATCACAGTGGATTAAGACTTTCAACACCCACGTCTGCGCGATAGAGTGATTAGACAGGGGAAGTTCCAGTGAATGAATACAGACCAAAGAGAGGAACACATTAAATATGGAAGGAAAGAGGATATGAGAGAGAAAGGTTGTGGTGTTGATTATACCTGGTATTTCAAGGCTTCTACTGGAGGATCTTCTTCAGCTGGCTTGGCTGCCATATGGGGAGTTAGTTGGATGGAGTCGAGGAATGTAAGGGATGAGAAGTTTCGTTCGTCTATTGGTAGCAAAAGGTTTAAAGAGAGAGGCCAATGCAGCAGAGCCCCATCTCTTCCGCACCACAGAGAGAGAGAGAGAGAGAGAGAGAGAGTAAAAAGATGCTTTGAGAGGGAAGGAAAAATAAGGAGAAAGCGGCGAATTAAAAGGTCCAACAAAAGTATGAGAATGTGGTGTCGCACCACGCCACCTTAAATTCCTACTAATTAACTAACCACTAGGCTTATGATATACATCATCAGCAACTTCGCGTGATTAACTCACGCGAGCACTAATAGACTATGTAGTGGTGGGATTGATGAGCTTCTAGCATACGCACCTACATGAGTTTCAAGATCTCCAATAACATCCTGAGACTGATAGAACCTGCTGTAATACTCACCAATGAAATAAAATCAAAGCTTTCAGTTGAGTGTTTGTTTCTCACGTCTTTAGTTGCGTAGGGTGTGAAAAACAGATGAAGAGTTCAAGAGGTCCTTAGCATCAACTTCTATGGCGTCTTTTGCAGCTACTTCTGTCATTATCAGAGGGTTTCAAGGGCTTCATCAGTTTTGGTGCGAACTCACTTTTCGCTTCCTAGCCTCTTGGGTCCTTCTCCATGGCCCCACAATCCACCTACCATCTCATCACCCAGCATCTCCTGCCCAGAGGCGAACTTGTCTAATCAAATATGAAGCTTCAAGTAACACGGGTTAAAAGCCATGGCTATGAGCTCGGTGGGGTAATGAAGCCAAAGAGTGGCGCCATAAATTATCAGTCTGGATGTTTGTCATTTGACCAAGCCTGCGGTACGAATGAATGAATTGGGCAAAAAAAAAAAAAAATTGCATCGAGAATCAAATGAAATGTACTCCTACTTAAATTCTAAAACAACTGCCAGTTATTTAGGCCAGAATCTGGTATCTGATGCATCTTGGATTAGATCAATGGTTTTAAATTTTTGATATGTATATAGCTGCTATAAGTGAATCTGAATCTGGCATCGGCCACGTTTCATATTGATAAATGGTATGCAAATGAACTTAAAAGATTTACGCATAAAGTTAAGCGAGAATGAGGATCCACCAATCGTCAAAGCTTCAAATCACTAAAAAAGCCAATCATAAAAGGCAATACGGCTTCTACATGTCATGTTCATTTTTAACTATACCATGGTACTTGCCTGGTGATGGCCTGGTTTGATTGTACAAAAGATCTGAATACTGAACTTACAATACCAGCAGCGAAGGAGGAGCAGCCTTATGTAAATGCAAAGTTGATCACTTTTAGTCCTATTCTGTTAATCGCTCTTGCAACTGCCCATGCCCATTTTCAGAAGCAAAATGCATCATTTACATCACACGGTCAAGAAAAAATGAGGAGGAAGCCAAACCTGACTAGTGACTCCGATGCAAACTTCCCTATTCAATTATGCAACATGATTTTAATGGCAGCAGCAAATTTTATTCCATAATGAGCTCAATCTGTTTTCAAATGTTTAGGCTGAAAATTTGGCAGTGTAAATTCTGATTTTTTTTTTGAAAAAGAAACTAGTTGGAGTTTGACTATTCACACGACTTAAGTTGAAATGCACATGGATACATATTTCATGACTAGAAGCGTTGCTTTCCGCTAAACTTGGCATCAGCTAGTTCTCGGGTGAATTGGGAAACCATTGAATGATTCAAGCCGCTACTGATGCCAATCCAACTCATTAAGATTGATTCATGACAGAGAACATTCATATTAGATAACAAATAAATTCAAACATAAGCAGATTTTAATAGAACAGCATATATATGAATGCATCAGACACTTGACGTTTTCTGACATCCAAGCACCTAGTACAGCATATTAGATTCACTTTTAACTCCGCTAAAGCTTAACATCAATACAGCGTAACTTGACAATTTCCAAGTTAAACTATCAGCATTACCCAAATGGCAACTACACTCATCACAAAAAAATAAGTATGTCAAGCGGCAGTGCTTGCCAATTGGATTTACCTTAAAATAGAAGAACAAACTATGCCTATTGGAACAACGAAAGAAAAGTCCAGCAGAGAAAAGGTTGAATGGTAGAGTATATATACTTAAAGGCCATGAATGAACAAAAAAAAAAAATGATATCTCCCGTGGCATTGCAACTAGTAAAATGCCCCTAATTAAATGCAAACGAAACCCTAGCCAGAAGCCAACGAGTTAATGCAAGTCAGCAGTGGACTACTTTTTAAAAAAAAAAATATATATATATATATAATGGTTAAGTGCGCATGTAGAAGATTATGTAGTCGAATACCTCAAGCTTTAAAGGAAAGAGAGAAAAGGGGATTTAATCTGAGGTACAGTAGTTGTAATAGGCAGTCTTCACACCAGTAAAATAGACAAAATGCTCAATATCAGCACAAACACATCCATATCAACACAGTACTGCATAGTAATGGACACTCAGCCATCACCAACTATATATAAGCCAATGATTTTCTCGGCTTTTTTAGGGACGTGCCTTGTGACCTTGATTCCTCTCTTCTGGGTCATCTTTATCTAATTTCAGAACTAGCCAATAATCAATCAATCCGCATATACAAATAAGAAAACCTAAGCAAACCTCCCTCAGAAGCTTACCATCTCCACCATGTAGGAGACATGAGAATAATATATGTGAACGAAACAGGAAAATACAAATTATTTCACAATTCCTACTAATTTTAATAAATTTCATCTAGACATTTAAAATTTCAGTATTTGCCAGAGAATTCAAAAAATAGATGTGAAACAACATTTATGTAGTTTTATGAAATACACTCCAAAGAAAATCAAGCAGCTACAAATCATCACCGTTAAATGCCTTTCTGCAAAAAAGAACACCTAAGGTGACTGAAACAAGAGCCGTCAATGCTCCCTGCCTAGAAAGCCAGAACTCAGTCCATGTCAAGGGTCTTGAGACCTCAAATAACACCTTCTGAAACTGTTCATTCAAGTCATCCAGCGAGCAAGTGTTATCAATTATTACATCTGCTTTACTCCTTTTTACATCCAGCGACATCTGAGCGTTTATCCTACTCCTGGCATCCTCCTCACATGTTCTGTCTCTTGCCATGAGTCGCTGAATTTGTGTTTGTGGATCAACCCAAACAACAATAATGGGCTTTGTCAACTTGTCCATCTTGGCCTCAAATAACAGAGGGACATCAAGAACAATAATCTTATAACCCTTCATCCAAAGCTTCGCGATTTCCCAAAAGATTCCAGATGATATATAAGGGGCCAGCAATCTAAAAAAGATCATAATTGAAACTCAAAATCTAGTTTGAATACACCTTGAGCAACAAATAATTCCAAGGATTTCTCCCCAAAATCAAGGGAAGACATGTACTAAGGCAACTAGCATAACTCAGCAATCAAAATAAAAGCTGAACTTTGGACTAGGACCAATAATTGATCACAAAATTTAATTTGCACAACCACCTATGCAGCAGTTTGTTGCATTGAAGTTACCAGAAACTACTTATCAATAAGGCACAAGTATAATAGCGTCCCGTCCACATGAAAGTTCTCACTCAAGTATGATAAAGCTATCTCACTTTCCACTGATAGTATATACGGATCCTTTTCACCGGAAAGACATGAAATCTGAGAAATCTGAGGCCAGCAGTAGGCCATGAAAATGCATATAATAAGAACTCTAAGACATTGGACACGGAAAACAAGATTCACGTCAAATGCAAAAATCTCAAATAAAAAGCAAGCAAGATTACCGATTAAGAAGTTGGCGCTTATCTGGATCGGAAAAAACAATTTGTCCAAGTCTTGGCCTATTAACTTCTCCATTATCAAGTAAAATTTCCTGCCCGAAAGCTGCAACAACTTTTTTCCATCCACCGGTGCCTTTATTTAATGCAGCCTGTACGTAACCACAAACAAAACCCACTAAAAAAAAAAACAACAAAGTCTTCTCACTTCGACAAAGAATCATACATTCAGTCCAAAGAAAAGAAAAATTAGAACCACTAAGACTTGACATTTTTTCATTGCAGCGAACAGCAAAAGTTCAGAACTTTAGATTCAAGGTATTAATTTAGAAGGTCAATGAAAGAAGTAGAAACATACACGGGCAACGACGTCGGCATCTACAACCGGAATGCCATGAGATTTGAAGAGATTAGAAACGGTGCTCTTGCCTGAAGATATTCCACCGGTAAGTCCAACGATTCTCATTGGTCCCGTCGATGGTTCCTTGATTAGCTGCGGTTGCGTTTCGCCAACGCACTTCTGCAAAGAAATATGACGCCGCCCCGTTATTATTATTGTTGTTGTTGTTGTTAAAATATTAAAATATGCGTGATAATCCGTCCAGCAAGCGCACCTGGTATCATAGTACCCTCCCACAATACCGACCAGGGTCTGATTCCCCCGATGCGCATCTTTTGAATTTATCAGTCACGCTGACAATTAACCAGACTCTTTATGAATACTAATCACCTTCTAAAAATGTAACCTAATTTACTTTATAAATTACTAGTAGTTGATGATATTATTTGTTTTTTCTGCTCACTTATTTTTATTATATTAATATTAATAAAGTTAATATAAATAACTTACACATAAAGTTGAGGAATAAATTTCATTTTTCTTCACAAAAATAAAAAATATAATAAATAAACAATATTTTATTTTCGAACAAAAATCTAATGAGATCCCTAATCCCCTGTTCCCTTCCCGAACCTTCTATACGATCTATCGAAGCAAAGCCAACCCCCCTCTTCTCTGTTTTTTCTCGTCGCCGTCTCCCAAAGACCCTCTTTTTTGTTTGTTTTCTCTCTGTCCCCATCTCGCCATCTCCCTAGTCTCCTCTCTCACTCCCCAATTCTCGCAGATACAGTCGGAGCTTGAAACTCCAACAGTCCGGCTTTGCTGCCCAAATCAAAGACGAAAATGAAATACCTGCGCTGCCGAACAGTCGTGCGCTACTTCAGGAATAGCAGTGCTTGTCGATCTCCTAGTTTCTGAAAGGAAATTGGATTTCTATTGCTTCTAAATTTGGATGAAGAAAAATATTGCTCTGCTTTGGGCTTCTAAGGATCGTGCTAGGCGGTGTTGTAGATGACTTAGGAAACGAACTTGTTGGGCCTTAAAAATGTGCGGTCCCTTTTTCCTATGGATTGTCAAATTGAAGACCGTGAGTTATCTAAAAGGGCTTCTTGGGGTTCTAAACGGAATTGCCAAACGTGGTCCAAGTTCTCCTTCTTTACTCTTTTTGTTCCCGTCGAAGCCATTTTATTCAGTAACCTTCGGATGTTAATTGCGGATGATGATGAGACAAGTTTCCGAGGTAAGTGCTTTCACAAATAGGATTGTTGCTCTGCTAAACACTTGTACTTCTCAAACTCAGCTGCACCAGATTCAAGCCCAACTGGTCATCCATAATCTCCATTCAGACAGCACCATTGCTTCCCACTTCATCACTGCATGCCAGTCCCAAGGTCTTCTCAGCTCCGCTTTTCTACTCCTCACCTTTCTTCCAAGACCAAATGTTTTCATCTGCAATTCTCTCATTAGAGCTTTCGCTCACTCTCACATTCCTCGTATCCCCCTTGCCATATACTTCCATATGCACAGGAATTCTGTTCACCCTAATAACTACACCTTCCCTTTCCTTTTCAAATCTTTATCTGACTTCCGTGAGTTTAAACAAGTTCAGTGCATTTATACTCACGTCTTGAAACTGGGTCATCTTAATGATATTTATGTTCAAAACTCACTTCTCGATGTATACGCGTCTTGTGGCCGCATGGACTTGTGCCGACAACTGTTTGATGAAATGCTTCAGAGGGATGTTGTGTCGTGGACAGTATTAATTATGGGCCATCGAAATGCTGGGAAGTACGATGATGCGTTGATTGTCTTCGAACAGATGCAATATGCGGGTGTACTGCCTAACAGAGTGACGATGGTAAATGCCTTAGCTGCCTGTGCAAAATTTGGCGCTATTGAAATGGGTATCTGGATACATAATAATCTAAAGAAGAATGGGTGGGAACTTGATGTTGTACTGGGGACTGCGTTAATTGAGATGTATGCGAAGTGTGGAAGAGTAGAAGAAGGGATGGATGTTTTCAGAATGATGAAGGAAAAGAATGTATTTACTTGGAATGCACTTATTAAAGGGCTGGCTTCAGCTAAAGGAGGCGCAGAAGCAATCTGGTGGTTTCACAGAATGGAGGAGGAAGGAGTAAGAGCAGATGAAGTGACTTTAGTCGCAGTCCTTTCTGCTTGTAGCCACTCAGGTCTGGTGGACATGGGACAACAGATTTTTAGTTATTTGGTTGATGGGAAGTATGGATTTTCACCTAATGTCAAACACTATGCGTGCATGATCGACCTCTTAGCACGTTCAGGGCGCGTAAAAGAGGCTTTTGAATTCGCAAGACACATACCTTTTGAGCCTACGAAAGCGATATGGGGATCCTTATTTGCCAGTTCCAAATCTCAAGGGCAATTGGAGCTCAGCGAATTTGCAGCCAGAAAACTGGTAGATTTGGAGCCACATAATTCTGCCTATTATATTCATCTGTCAAATCTGTATGCAGAGATGGGAAGATGGTGGGATGTGGAAAGCGTTAGGGGAATGATGAAAGATAGACAGTTAACCAAGGACCTGGGGAGTAGTTCTGTGCAGATTGAACCTAAACAGGACGCCAATGTTTAGTGCTGTATCCTCAAAGCATTTAGATAAATGCTTGCTAAGATGGAATACTTATCACCCGATTAAAGAAATGTTAAATGAGGACATGCATGGAGACTGAAAAACCGAATTAGCTGGCCCTTTTTTGTTGAGGCCTGCTGTTTTGCTCTCTCTCTCTCTCTATATATATATATATATATATATTTTCCCTTGATTACTTGATTTTTGATGGTTAGTTTTGTAAATTAACCTCATCTGGCATCCGCTCCAGAAACTTCATTTTCTGCTGAAGTCAATGACAATAATTACAGTGCAAACTGGAAGGTGATTCCAAAGAACAGAGCAATATAATTCTATAACTTACTTGTGTAACATCAAACGGAACAGGGATTTGAAGCTAAGACTTCCAATCGAATAAAGTACGCAAATCTTTAGCTGGTAAGATTCAACAAAGTGGCTTTATTCTATTCATCTTTAAACTTTCATAGAATATTCATATTGATATGGCTTCCTACCCTTTCCTACTGCTTGGCATATCAAGGACCTTTGATCAAGCTGGTCTTGCAGAGTGATATCAGCTACCCATGCATTAACATGGAATCGTGATTCAAACAGCTTCCTAGTCTGTGAGTTCATCAAGTATTGAACAGTGGACAGGTGATGCAGATCCACCAAGGTAAAACAGTCTCCTGCCAAGTATTTGAACTCGGATAATCTCTTCTCATATCTATCAAGAACAGTACCCAGTTTGGCTTCATTTTCTTCCACCACTGATGTATCTGCAGGCATCCCATACATAGGTTTTTTTCCCAGCTCCCAAACAAGTTTAGAAGCCAGTGGATCATAATGTTGGGACTCCACTTCCAGCCACACCCCTATGATCGCCATCTTGAATTCTCTGCTAATCAGCTGGGTCCCTTTCTCAGCATACTCGTGGACAATATATTGCGTGATTGCTCTTGATTCTGCATATTGAAATGCTTTTGTTAAATAATTTAATTCTACAAAGGCTGTGTTGATTATCTCTTTGTAAGCTTGTTGGAGATATAGACATACCAGATAGTTGCAGGTCTCCCTCTTCAAATGCCGGTACTTGACCGAGTGGCTGCATCGACATTTGACAGAAAGGTGAGTCAGTTGAAATGAAATTCAGCTGACAAGGGGAGCCCGGAAAGCCTTGTTATGTTTTGTGGCATGACTTACATTAAGAGAAATGAATTCCTTTTTGTGCTCACGCTCTCTCATGTTAACGTGAACAAACTCAAACTCAAATTGTTTCTCAAAAAGGCAAGCAGTAACTCGCACCATGAACTTTTACGGTTCCCATGTTTGCGTGAAGTTAGAAGATAGGAAAAACGACCTGATGACTGATTCTAAAGAGGAGGAGCCTCTGATTGGTATTTTAAAAAGATTGGGGTGAGAATCTGTTTCTTGAATTTTCCAATGTAGATGTGCTTTTTAATTAAGCAGATAAACAATACAAGTTGACATGTTATGTTTCTATAAAAATAAAGCATGAGTTGTGCCTAGTTATGACGTAGGTGCTTGGCGAAGAAAAGCTGCAGAAGTCAATTGGCCTCTCTTCTCCTCCTCCTTAAAAAAAAAAAAAAAAAGTTGTTTGGAATATATAGCTGGTAAGAACTATTTAAATTAAAAGTTAAATGGTATAATGTTTCGAATAATTATTCTACTATGCCCAAATTTGAGATTGATATTTTGATTTGGTTAACAAGGATAATATTTGTCTACAAGTAAGCAGTGATGGAGCTAGCACCTCAAGTTAGGGAGTGAGAAAAAAATATAATTCAAAAACTAATAATTAAAAAATAATATTTTAAAATTAATTATATTAGGCAAAAAATATAATGGCATGAGTAAAATTATACATCTTTTTATTTGAGCAAAATATATTGAGATTTTTTAGGTCAAAAATATAGAGAAAATTGTTGTAAAGTTTAAATTTAGACTCCAAATATTTTTTATTAAATCTAGAGAGTTTAAGATATTAAAAATATGGGATGCAAGATCATAAATTTCTCATGCTATATATATAATTTTTCTTATGTGAGGGAGTGTACCCCAGATGAACGTGGCCCCGCCAGTGCAAGTAAACGTTTTCCTCTGACGTTCAACCCAATTACCTAACGCTTCATGCTTTCTATGCTTTGCATTGAGGCAAGCTCGAGGAGAATATTCATGGTAAAGGAAAGGAAAGGAATTCATTCGAACTTTTGAATTAATGGCGACAGCATTTGATTCGCCAATCAAGTCCCAAGCTAGGCGTCGTTGAACCAAAAGAAAGGTAACGAAACGAAATGCCATATTGGATCCTCACCAAAAAAAAAAAAATCTTAGCTTTCTGCTCTGGCGCTCTCGGGCCTCAGTCTCGCCGCTAGCTATATACTTCTTTGATTTTATTTATAAGATAAAAAAAAATTATTTATATTTATAAAGTACTTATCAATTTATAGTATTCTTTTTTACATTTTTATTCTTATTAAATGTTTTAAATAAAAATATTAATAATAAAATTTAAGAATATTTATTAAAAGTAAAAGTAAAAACTTATTAAATTTTAAAATAAAGTTAATGGGATTTAAGATTTTCTTTGATTTTAATAAAACATAATAAAAATAATTTATAAATAAGATCAAAAAGAATATTGACAATTTGTTTCCCATTTTATAAAATTTTATTCAGTTTTCTCTATCTTAATTTTCAAACACATCTCAACAACAACTACAAGCTTATCTCACCATATTGGATCAACTGCGTTCCATCAATTACATTTTTTTTTAACTTTTAAATACTTCTCTTAATTTTTAATTTTTCTTTTAAATAAACTTTACTCTCCCTATTATTATAGAAAAAATATAGGAAGAATTACATTGAAATTCTACACACAAAAATTAATTACTACAAAATTCATTAACAACTGATTAACCTTAGTTTAATTGTCAATAAATTTTATAATGATTAATTTTTTTTATGACACCTAGATGTAATTCTCTCAAATATCTACATGTTTGTAACATAATCTTGTGGTCGGAGGATAATTTACATGTAAAATATAATAGATGGTTCAGTGGAAGCAACAAGGTTGGCCCTGAAGAAATATGTATGGGCCAATGTTGCTCTAACAAAATTGAGACACTTATTCTACCCAAATATATATGCATACATATAAACAGACACCTAGAGTGTGCTCATTTAGAGCCAGACATTTACATTATTAAACAGATACACTCTAACTAAAAGGCTGAAACGCAACCATTGAAATCTCATCAAAGGCTCGAGGCTTGCATCTCCGATCCTCTCAAGTCTCAACTCTCAAAAGCTGTTTGGCTTTAAGAAGTTATGACATCCCAGCTGAGTCATTTCTCCACCACGCAATGGGTCGAATTCACATCGATAGAAGCTGCATAACACAGTCCACTGGGTATCATTAACACCAATATAACAGAAAAGCTGCTACTAATTTTAAGACACGGAGAACACAAGCAAAAAGCGACTTCATAACAAAAAGTTAAGCAATGATCAAAATGATATGAGAACGAACATGTGCTTTCATCTATATTCTCAGCTAAACTAATGCAGATAAAACAGAGTGAATGGTATGGCGCCTCTCTCCAAAATATCAGCTTAGCAATATCCAAGAGTGAACAATATTTCAGACGCAGAGGAAAAATAGAACCAACCTTCTTCAATGAGAACCTTGGTATCTATTATCTAAGAAAAATAGATAGAACAGCTATAGCTACGACCTACAGACGGCATTCTGGCATTTGAGAAAGTTACCTTCCATCCATGCCAAGAATTATGACCGTATTCTTTTGCTGCCCAAATACAACTATGTAACGACAGCCCTCACGTAAGTGAAACTGAGCAACTGAACGCTCTGAGTGGAAATACTTAGGCAATACTCCTGCAAGTGCAAAGCAAAAGAAGCTTAAAATGAGAAAATGGAATCAATTAACGTTTCTCTCTGAGAAAATTAAAACAGAGAAGTCCGAGCAATTAAAAACATAGAAAATAATAACAAGGTGAAATTATTATGGAAGAAAACCAGATGATATTGGTGGCTGTCAACGGTTCTTTCCAACACATATTAAGTTCTTAACATTCAGAGTCTTTCACAAGAAATAGAACGGTCCCGGCAAATGGTGAAAATACCAAGGTCAAAACTTCACATTTTGGTTATTAATAACATTACATGTTCATACACACTAACAGGATATCAAGTTAGAATAAGATGTTTTACCTTTTAAGTTCTTGAACGAGAGGGATGAGCTAGATGGCGTAACGGCAGCATCAGAACTGGATGTACGCTGTAACTGTTCGTGCTCTGACCCACTAGAATTAACCTTGAGGCTAAAAACATGGACAGTACCCTTGTCACTCGAAACTGCTAGCCACTCAGCAGTAGAAGAGAATGCCAAACTATATATCTCCGCCGCATTCGTTCCCCTCCTTACCTACATTGGTTGTTCCATACATGTATTTGTTAACATAGAAAACTATCAACTTTGAATAGACAAAGCCTTAATTTTTCCAAAGGACACAAACAATTTATTCATACCTCAGAAAAACAGGATATGCTAAACGATAAAAGAGAAAGACACGAGCTAAGAAGCATATCCAGATAACAAATAGAATTATGTCTATGTCTAATCCAAACACTACCATAGGAAGACGAATCTCCTCATATAATTGATGATAGATTTCTTCCGTGGATTTTTAAAAAATGCAGAATCATCACAAACCCACCCCATACCATAATGCCCTGAGCATATAAAAAGCATTAATTGTTAACAATCAGAAAATCCACGTACTTCCCGAAGCAGCGTGCCATTAGCCGTCTCAAAGATCCTAAGCAGTGTCCCCCTGGTGCTTGCCGTGGCTAGTAACTGCCCATCAAGTGTGAGAGTGAAACAAGCTATGCCGGAATCATGTGCTAAAATGAATTTGGTTTTCCGCTGCGCATAATGCTCTACTCGAATCTGGCCCTTATGCAAAGCAGGGCATGCCAGCACCAGAGAATCGGCCAATTGCGAAACTTCGCAGAGCCCCTTGGGGTTCGCAAGAGTCTCTATCTGATGCAGCAACTTGAGGTCTGCGAAATTGTAGACGAATATCTTATGCTCCATGGCTACAATTATCCGGTCTCGTCGAAGCCGGACTCCCCGAACAGGAGCTCGGAACGACAACTCACCAATGCACCTGCCTTCATGGTCGTCCCAGATCATCACCTTGTTTGGAGGATATTGCGGGCGGGGGCCACCTCCGATAAGCGCCAGTATATTACACCGAAAAAGCATCTCCACGTGGCCAATTCCACCGGCACTGCCACCGCCACCATCGAACTCTCTCCGAAAGTGCTCTCGGAAAGGGTCGCAATCATAGATACGAAAACCGTTATCAGTGGCGGCAGCGAAACAGGCTCGGTCTTGGTTGAAGGAGAGTTGGAGCAGCGAAGGAGGGACGGTCATCGAAGGGGAATCGGGCGAAGCATCATTGGAGTTACGATGAGACATGGAGTGACTGTGATTACGAGACGGGGTTGATTGGCGTGGCATAGAAGAATCCAAGTCTAGCGTCTGAGATTGGTAGGCATGAAAACTAGGAATTGAATTGGAATCCAGATTAGGGCTCGGCCATGGAGGAGAAGAGGAAGCTGAGAGAGTGGCCATGGATCACGTGGTATTGAAAGAGCAGGTAGCCCCTTCTCACTCTATTAATCTTCCGACTCCGACACCCAATCCCAGTGAACACGTTCCTTTCACTCGGGAGGGTGCCAACAAGCAGATGCGAGAATGACAAAACAGAATTCATTCTCCGATTTTTCTACGAAATGACGACTTTCTCCTTTTCCGGATTTTGGTGAATCTGGTGACATGGTCGCGTCATCCAGTGCGCCCTGACTTGGCTACCCTCGCTCTCGCGTATTTAAATATTCAATTTCTTAAAAATGCGTGCCAGACGTAATCGGATGCATGCTCGCGTACGATCTGCAAAAGGAAGGCAGGCAGGGTTAGAGAGGCAGACCACACAACCTTGAAAAATATTTAAGGAGATCTGATGCACCAAATTATCTACAATTCATTCAATAAAAAATATAATATTTAAATAATATTAAATATAAACTGATTTTAATATTAATGATAGTTAAAAAAAGATAAAAAATTAAATATATATTTTATTATAAAAATAAAATTAATTTAAAATATATCATATAAAATTTTATTTAAATTACTTAAAGTCCTTTAATTAAACAAATCACTGACTATGTGATACATTTGATTTACTTAAATATTTCTGTACAGCCTTTTGTATACATATATATAGTAGAATCTTGATGCTTTGTCATTGGCTTGGTCTGACACATATATTAGCATACCATCCTTTTCTTGTCGCATGCAGCAGTGTCTAGGGGATGAATCGGAACACCAAGTTAGAAAAATAAAACCCTGCCCACACGAGTTGGAATCCTGGAGCCACAAGGTCCTTCGGACAACAACGGTCAAAATTCACAATGCCGTTTCCAGGCACAAGAGTTGTTGCACCCTCATTCCATTGTCAGTTAGACCCATGAAAGGTGTAGCTCTCAATACCTATGCCTTTTACTTCCTCTTTGCTCATCCCCTTCACGCCTTCACACTTTTCTCTGTCTTTAAGATTCAAATAAACTGGTTAGTGTTTTTTCCCCTTTTTGGTGATATTATAGTTTAGGAAGAAAAGTTCCGCCTAGTCACTGCTTATTCAAAACCCAGTCCTTCTCGTTGCTTTCAAAGGCTTTAGTAGAAAAATACACCTCCGAAGAGTTCCAAGGGGGGGCTGCCAATGGCGTGTTCTAATGCTCTTTTGCATTAAAATTATTTGATTTTTTTGACTGTTTCTTTATGCAGAAGAAATGATGACATGTCATTGTTGCAGGACTCTATCCTTATACCCAGCTGGCAGCAAGAAAAAGACAAGCTGAATCATATCTCAGTGTGCCTGAATTTGATGGTTTCAAGCCCAAACTCGTTTCCTGTTGGTTGGGAGCTGAGGTCAATGCCATCGTAACTTTATTTGTAATTTTGTATGTCATTTTCTCCGTGACGAGTATTTTTCTTATCAAGGTACTTTGAATGCTCGAACATGCTATTTAGTTGGATGTTTTATTGCATTTTTATACCTTGATCACTCAGTCAATGAAATGCGCAGATCGTGAGGCACTTTCACAAGCTGCAAACTGAATGGGTTATCTCAAAATTCATGGACCTTGCCTCGTTCAATGACCCGTCAAATGGATATCTGATTGAGGATACCTGCGTTTTTGGAGTCGAAATCTTGGTCATCAAGCCTCTTCCAAAGAAGAATTCTTAACAATGATAGATGAACCCGTTCCTCTTTCCAATAGGTGGAGATTCGACATTTTTCAAGAGTTAAATTTAGAAAAGTACGAGTTCGAGTTCCTTGTTGGAAACCACAAATGGTATTGTTCATGTGTGAACAACAAATATGCAAGTGTGCTAGTGACGTTGAGTTTCAATTGATAAGAAAAAGGTCTCGAGCTTTCTTATCATAGTTCACTCGGATATAAAAGATACGCAAAACCTAATAAAACAAGTGTTTTTTTTATTGAAATATAAAATAGTTACAAGTTTAAGTTAAAAGTAAAAACTATGCTAAATTTAAAAAGCTATGAGTGCAAAATGCAAGTCTTTAGTGAGTATTGACTGTCTTTCTTCTGTATTTTCGTATTCTATTTATAGTGTCAGAGTGATGTTAGCCTCTTCCTTGAAACTTAGAACATTTTGCCGAAGAATTAGGGATCCCGTGAAACTCATGACACTGTCTTTACTCAGTGTTCTCCATTTTTGGCAACCAACCCGTCTCATCGAGATACTTGAGTATGATGATATTGCTCTCATGGATTATGAGATCATTTAGGATCGTGTCTTCATGTGTCAATGGTCCAATATTTGCAACTGACAAGATTTCGACATCTTCACCCTATCGTGGCCTTTTATTAAGCTCAAGGCCTACCCTTTTGTTTAAATTGGACCTGATTCTTCAGTCATTTAGCCAAAATAAATTTATAACCTATTGAGCAGCGTTTTATATTTTAGTCCAAATAGGTATGTGTGATTATATGTGAACAATGCTTCCTAACTTCCCAATCATCACTTACTAATGTTATTTTTTAAGTGTGTTAGACTTTTTTTTTTTTGTGGCATTGTTATAGGAAGCTCATTTTCTATCACAGTGGGATAGTTGAGGGAAATGGTAATAAAATTTCACTGTTCCTAACTGTAAACACCTCATCAATTCCACCTAACACTGAGTTATGCGTGCATTGCATTCTACGTGTCAAGGACCAAATCAAGGGATAGCATGTTGAAACAAAATGTGATATTACTAAATTAGAAACTTTAACTGAGTGTGTGTTTTAAATTCTCCAGATACATTCAAGTGTTTCATAATTTTTTAGTTTATAATCAAATTTTCAACTCAAATCCCATGCGGGAAATTAAGAATGCTCATGACACTGGCCAAGTTAAAGGATCCAACTTAGGGTTTTCTAGAAGAAAATATTTGTATCCTAGCAATGAAATTTAAAGTTTTGGGCTTAACCCCCTCGATGATCAAGCCACAGTTCATATAATATCAAAGAATTATTGTAATAGTGTGGAATAAGGGTGTTTAAAACCGATTCAAACTGAAAGAACCGACCCAAACCAATCCAAACCAAAAGAAATCGATCAAAACCAAACAATAATCAAGTTTACTTCAATCTTTATGATATGATAACTGATTGATTTGGTTCAAGTTCGGTTTTGAGTACTAAAAACTGAACCAAACTGAGCCAAACCTGATCAAAAAATACTATTTATTTATTTATAAAATACATGATCATTTATCTACAAGAAACGTTTTGTTTTGAATTTTTTACAGTAATAGATAAATATTTTTAAAGGACTAGAATGAAAATGCATAATATTAAATAATTATGATAATCATGCTATGGCTATCATTTAATTACTTACAACTCAAAAGCCTTAGTATTCAATTTATTTATAAAAAACAGTTTGTTTTGAATTTTGTATAATAAGTTTTTCATTGTTTATTAAAATATAGATACATAAATAAATATTTTCAAAGGACTTGAATGAAAATACATAATCTTAAATAATTTTAATGTTAAAAACTCATATCAATTTTTATAATTAATTATTTTTATCACATTAAAATTTTATTATATTTTTATTATCTCTACTTATGAAAAAAATGAGCCAAGAAGAATTAGATTTAATTTTAATATATAGCACCATTATGAAGATAGAAAAAAAGAAAAAAAAATAAATAAGTGCATTGAAGCCTGATCCAAACCTTAACCAAACCAAAAATTAAATCAAACCAAACCAAGCTCCATAAAAACTGATCAGGTCTTAGTTATGAGTAAATTGAATGGTTTAGTTTAGTTTGATTTTTGACCAAAATCAAACCAAACCGAGCCTATGAACACCCTTGGTGGAATGATTGCATCTTGATATTCAATCCATTGAAAAATCTTGAGGGAGCATAGCCTTTTTACTGAGTGCGGTATCATAAACTCACATGATTTATCTTTTACTAACTTGACAATTTAAATTTGAATAATAATCAAGTTTAAGCAAAATACTAATTATGTATTAAATATAAAATAGTGTCAAAATTAAAATTTAGAGAAAATGACAAACAAATCTCTTTAAAATATGCAAATAACAATGAAGTGCCATGAAATATAATAATTGTTCTTAAGTCATTTGAAACTTTTGTGACACTAATGTCTTTTATGAAATAATTATAATATTTTTAAGTATTGTAAATATCAATGACTATTTGGTTTAAATCACAACAAATGTTTTCTCTAAAAATGACTAAAATGGGATAGCACATTATGCAAAAATTTTACTCATTGAAAACCAAGTATATACTTGGCACATAACAGTCACTGCTTTTGAGTAACATCTATTTTTTTCTTGGCAATGACTAAGATAGTATAGCAAGTGACAAGTCTTGTTTTGTAAATTTTTTTAACCATTAAGGCTTAATTGTTGTAAATAACAATGACTATTTTGGTTTGAGTGATGGTTATTTTCTTCTGGTAACAGTTAAAATGAAATAAATAATTACAACTCTCATATACAATTTTTTTAATCATTAGAGTTCGGGTGTTATCAATATTAGTGATCATCTTTGTTTAAGTAATATTTATTCTTTCTATAACAATGACTAAAACATGATGGGAAATAACAAGTTATCCCCTACAAATTTTTTAATCACCAATGATTCATATCATCTTCGCTAAAATTTAATGCTTTACAAATATTATTAAAATAAATTTATAAATCATTTCTAGTTCTTAAACACCCAAATCACACAATGATATGTAGATAATAATAAGGCCCATGAAATATGATAATTCTTCTCAAATCCTTTCAAATCCTTTTGATATTAATGTCTTTTATGAAATAACTATAATACTTCTAAGTATTATAAATATAAGTGATTATTTTGATTTAAGTTGTGATCATTTTTCCTTTAGAAATTACTAAAATGAGATAGCGAATGATAAGTTCTGTTATGCAAATTTTTCAATCTCTAAAATCCTAATATTGTAAATAGTACTGATTACTTTGATTTAAATATTGCCAAATTTTTCTTTAGTAATTACTGAAATGGGATAGCAAATAACAAGTTTTGCTTTGTAAATTATTTAATCACCAGAGTCTAAATGTTGTAAATAGTAGTGATTATTTTTATTTTAGTAATAATTATTTTTTTAACAATAGTTAAAACGGGATAAATAATTATAATTTTTTTTTTTTGCAAATTTTATAATCACTGAAAGTTCAAGTATCTTAAATATTAGTGATCATTTTGATTTAAATAATGATTGCTTTTATTTTGATACCACGCAAATTTGTTAATCACAAATCCATTTTTCTCGGTCTCTCTAAAATTTAATGCCTTACCCTTTTTTTAGCCAACAAAATTTAATAAATCATTCTTAGCTCTTAAACACCCATGTCAGACAATGATGTGCTAACACATTTTTTTTTTAGTTAAAATTCCTAATGGTCTAAGTGGCGCATGTGAATCCATGTAAAGAAGAACCCGACTCTATTGAAGCTGTGAATCTTCTTATTCAAGGTTGTAGCGATGGCCACCTATTCAGAGACGTCATTCTTGATGCTAAACATTGATGAATAGAGTGGAATCTGGAAGTTCATCACGTGGATCGTGAAAAAAATGTGTACGCTAATTACCTAACTAGGAATTTTTATATTTTTAATGATATTTTGAGTATTTTCGATCATCCTTCAAACCCCTTACACGGCTTGGTGCATGCCGAGGGATCCTACCTTATGCTTCTGTAGCCTTTTGGTGCTAATTGATTTCGGTTTTAATTAAAAAAGGAGGAGGAGGAAAAACCGACGGACATGGGGGGAAGGGGCAGGGGCAGGGGCAGGGGCAGGCCACCGGGAGAGAAGCTTACAGAGCACGCAGGACAAAAACGTCGGCTCTTCAAAACGCAGTCGTTTAGAAGAAGACAGAACCAAGCGTCGTCTCGTATCAATGGTTCCTCGTTCCGAAACAAACGGTGGCGATTCGACGATGAATCCATCTTGAAAAAGTGGAAAACGCGCGCGATTTGAACATTTTGCGATGCTTTTCCCACTGAAATCATTAAAATATTATCTTTTCGAGTAAATAAATACATTTAGGAAATGGAGATTAAGACGATCAAAGACGAGGGAAGAAGCAAGGACTAGGGAGAGGCTCGACTGTGATTGATCATTGATGAAGGGGAAGGGCCATGGGAGGAGGACCGGCAGTGGAAGACGAAGTGGAAGTAGGGAGACGGGCAAAATGAAGGGAACGCTAGCTAAGCACTTGCAGAATCAGCTAGGGCAAGTATCCCTCTTTCCCCTTCACCAACAATCATCATCTTCTGCCATCCCTCGCTTCCAGAATCTTCTTGAAGCCGAAGCCCGTGACAGCAATCTCCCCTCATCATCTCACGCACTGGATCACATGGTTGACGCCAATGTGGACGACAAAGATTTCATTCTCAGCCAAGATTTCTTTTGGTACACGAGTCTTTATTCATTCTATGCTGCCTCTTCTACTTTTTTGGGTATTCATAATCTGCAGTCTGCCAATTTCACTGGAAATCTAAAATTTTGTCTCCTCGTTCTTTGTTGCTCTTGGTAGCACTCCAGACTATATAACCCCGGATAATCAGTATATTTTTAACGGCTTGGACTGCAACAAGGTGAAAGCAACTCATTGATAATGCCATGCGATCTGTTTCTTATATGTATAAGACTAAATTTTTAGTCCTCTTTCTTCCTCAAACAGGAGAATATCCCGTGTCCGAAATCACCGGAAAAGCTGAATACTATAAAAAGCAAGAGATGCCGATTGGGTAAGAGTAGCTATAGCTTTGATACTTCTGTTGGCATTGCTGTGCTTTGCAAAGTCATATTTTCCAGCGCCCCCCCGCCACCCAAAAAAAAAAAGGGAAAAGATTGCTCATGGAGCATCTAATTTGGAAGTGCATCGTCACGAGGAGCATATCAGGTAGAGATTGGGCGGAATGGCGAGCGGTTGGAACTCTTCTGTCTGCTTACGTGATACTAATAGCTGATAGAATTGCTACACTAGCTCTGCGTCTGAAAAAATAGGAAGGGAGCTTCATACGCTCATTTAGATACAACAGCTGCATCCTTGAAAACTTACAAGATAACTATTCATTATAGCTCGAAATGTGAAATTTACCAGAGTGGATACCATCACTTTTCGATTAAATTATTTTTGTTGCTTGAAATTGAGATTATAAAAAAGAAAATGTGTTGTGAAAGCCACACCTCACTTCACTACTGGATTTCAAATGGGGGCTAATTGAGCTGATTGATTTCTAATTTTCTGTGAGAATTAAGATACTCAGAAGAGTCTAGAGATCTTTGGTAAATAGCGACGTGATTTTATTATGTGGTCATTATGTTCTAAAAACTTGTTACAGACGTGCACTAAAGAATTACGATGCACGTGCTGTTCAACTCAAATATGCGGGTTTAATGATTCAGCCCCCGTTTTTTTTTTTTTGCTGTCAATGTGTACTTTTCGTAGATGGTATCTCAGGGAACCCTCTGAGCCCTACTTTGTCTGGTGGTCATCAAGCTGTGGAGCTGGGAACTGAGTCTACTGCAGATGAAGTAGATATCGAGAAACTGATTTCCACTGGCAAACCAAAGGCTCAAAATTATCTCTCACATTCTGTGATTGCCTTGCGCTCTAGGGTCATATCCCCTCCTTGCTTTAGGAACCCATATTTGAAAGATGCTTTAAATAAGGACAAAGTTCCCTATGGGAACCAAAGATCAAAATATGCAGGTACATTTATGATCAGCCCTCTTTAGACAAGCATGCACGATAGGATGTCTGTTTATTTTTTCCTTCAAAGTTACTGCATTATATAAACTGTGTAATGCTAGAATTGCAGGTCTATTCTCTGCAATTACTGGTGATGATGGGCTTTCACGATATCGCACTGACTTCCATGAGATTGGGGTATTACGTTTACAATAGAAATTTTGATTCCAAGGTTTTATATGGTTTGAGACCTGAAACCCTTTGACTTCTTCCATTAATATTTCACTTTTATCCTCTTTTCCTCAGCAAATTGGTATAGGAAACTTTAGTAATGTTTTCAAAGTTTTAAAGAGAACAGACGGTTGCTTGTATGCTGTGAAACACAGCACAAGACAATTGTGCCAGGAAACAGAAAGGTAGCATCATCACCTCTTTTGGATTGTTCTTAACTTAGGTAGAGCCACTGACACAATTTTTCTGCATTGCAGGAGAAAAGCTTTGATGGAAGTTCAAGCAATGGCAGCCTTAGGTTTGTACAGTTAATTTTTCTTTCTAGTTTCATTTTGACTTGATAATTTTATACCAATTTTGTTTTATCATTCTCTTTAGGATCCCATGAAAACATAGTGGGATACTATTCTTCATGGTTTGAAAATGAGCGGCTGTACATTCAGATGGAGTTATGTGATCATAGCTTATCCATGAGCAAGGCCAATACAATGTTTACAGAAGGACAAGTGTTAGAAGCACTGCATCAGGTAAATTTCCTTTCGTGACCATTTCAATTGAATGTAGCTGCTGATAGTTATTGTTGACATCTAGGAACCACTGTCAGATAAGCATCGTTTTTTTTTTAAATTTTTTTTAATAGTAGATTAGCATCCAATTTTTTGTCTTGAGTGTATGAAGAAAGTCCCTTTTAGTCTCTGAGTGCTTAACTATTCTAACCTAAGGTTTTAAAAAAATTCATTGTTTGATTGAAAGGCTTTTTATCATGCTGCTTATGGCCCTAAGAGAACAGATGCTGTTATATGATTTCATCACAGTTCTTGTGATGTGTGTTTAACTTATCAAGTCATTTATATGAAAGAGTTAAATAGAATATATAACAGAACGCTTTATTTTGTATTTTCGCTATTGGCTTTAGTGGATCTAAGAGCACATTTGTTACTTGTTGAATGCTATTTTCTGTTAAGCGTTCAATGGTTCAAGCACCTTTTCCTGCATACCCTATCAATCTAGCGACCTCTTACTAAATAAATGCATGTTTATTTATCATATTTGACAAATTTGACATGAATTTCGTGAAGGTGGCAAAGGCACTGTTGTTTATCCACGAAAGAGGAATAGCTCATCTTGATGTTAAACCTGATAATATTTATGTAAAAAATGGTGTTTATAAGCTTGGTGATTTTGGCTGTGCAACTCTCCTTGATAAGAGCCTTCCAGTTGAAGAGGGCGATGCACGTTATATGCCCCAGGAAATCCTGAATGAGAATTATGATCACCTTGATAAGGTTGATATTTTTTCTTTGGGAGCTTCTATTTTTGAGCTCATTCGAGGATCACCTCTGCCAGAATCAGGATGTAAATTTCTTAATCTGAAAGAAGGCAAGCTGCCACTCCTGCCAGGCCATTCCTTGCAATTTCAGAACTTGCTCAAGGTACTAAACGTTATTTTATCTCTATGGTACTGTCTCCGTGGGACTCGGTTTCTCTCCCCCTCCCAACCCCTATTAAATTTGTATCGTCCATATTTAATATTTTTTATTTTATATATTTTAAATAAAAAATTATATAAATTTTAATAAACTTGTTTACTAGTCTTTATAATTTAGATTTAATATGAGTAGTCTATATTTAATTCATAAAAATTATAAAAAAATTTAATATTGAACCATATCTAGGAAGTCAATTTATAAAATATTTGATATTAAATATGAACCATTTATATTAAATTTGAATTGTGTAGATGGAAGAACAAATTTATTAAAATTTTTAATATTAAATATATATGAAAAATTAATTTATAAAATATTTGATATTAAATATGAATCATTTATATTAAATCTGGACTGCACAGATAGTTAAACAAATTTATTAAAATTTTTAAAAATTTATATAATTTTTTATTTTAAAAAATTGAAAATAAAGAGCATTAAATTTGAGCCATCCAGTAATGTGGATGGTCCAGATTTCGCACATCCTTGGCGGAGGTGTGGAGGAGGGCTCCGTCTCTGTATGGAAAAGAAGTTACAATTCCGTCGTTCATGTATCTAGTTTTCTACAGTGGAGACAATAATTTGTAGTTATGAATACATCTGTTACCTTTGCTATTAGCGGTTTACTATATTCTTCGACAGCGTAGTATTATTTTCCTGTGGAAACTGATGCTTGGCTGATGGTTCATTTAGGTCATGATGGACCCTGATCCAATTAAACGACCGAGTGCAAGAGAGTTAGTGGAGAATCCAGTCTTTGATTTAGCCACAAGAAATGCAAAATGTTGAAGGGGCATGGTTTTTTGTTTTCTTTTCGGGGCTTTTTGTATATTGCACATGTAAGCATCATCCAACAGAGCCAGTGGTTGTGGCCTATTTTGTATCCCCGACAAGTTTTGTTACGAGTCAAATGCGCCAGATTTTCCGGCAGCGCGGTGCAAGCTTTATACTGCCTTGTTTGGGTTGATAATATAATCGATTTTTGGGATCAAATAATCAAATTCTTTTAAATTATTTAAACAGTCAAAAAATTTAATAATTGATTATTGAGTTGGATCTACGTTTTGAAATAATTTTTGAAAAGTTATTTATAAATTTAATTTCACAGTTAAATAATATATTTTACTTTTTAAATAAAGTTTAATAAATTTAATAATATTAAACATAATTTTACCAATAATTTAATTTTAAAAAGCAATATCATTTATGTTAGTTTGTATAATTAAAATCAATTTCAAAAAATAGCATTCAAATAGATTGTATTATAATATAATTAATTATAATTAAAATAAATCATATTAATAAATTATTTTTATAATTAATTATATCCAATTGAAATTTAAATGAACTTTGCTATCTAGAATATTTTTTAAATATTCTATTATTATTGTATATATGTCCTCGTCATTATTAAGAAATATTATTTGACATTATTATGTAATTATTAGTCATTGTTAGGTTATTTTTTTCTTGATGTATATAATGTATCTTTTAGCTTAAATAATAAACAAGATATTTTTTCTATACTTCTCTTGCTCGTTTCATGATACTAGAGTTGTGTTTTTTTTTTGCTCCTTCCAGTACTGCCTCTCCATTCTTTGCTTGTTTCATCCTTGACATTGTTTTTGGCTGCTTTTTTCTCCTGCCTCGGGAATTTTTCTTTAGCTTTTCACAATTCAGGTGGGCCTACTTTAGCTTTTTCTCTTTTCACAATTTTTCTTTTGCTATCTATAAGACAATTGGTTGATATGAGCTGTGATATTTTATTTAATAAATGTGGTTGTGTTGTTTTTTATTTTCAGACGAGACAAGTTATTGGTACTGGGCGTAAAGTTGGTTGAATATTTAATCTCAATTCCTTACATCTCCTTGAAGTCATTTCTATTAGATTGTATGCTACCTCTACCTTTTCTTCTTCCCTTAATTTATAGCATTGCTGTCTTGCTGATCCGTCTTTAACTGCTTTGCATCCTTTACTTTCTCGTGGTCTTTGGGTCAAGTTAATGTTCAATCTTTGCATTGTATTTGTTGTCAAGCTGCTAAACAGCCTGCTTTATCTTTTAATAAGATATTACTTATGAGTCTTTTGATTTAATTCATTCTAATATTTGGGGCCTAGCATTTACTCCTTCTGTGGGAGCCTCAAGATATTTTGTGATCTTTGTTGATGATTTCTCCTATTGTACTTGGATTTATATGATGAAAAGTCAATCTAAGTTGCCTAATATTTACATTAAATTTGCTACTATGATCCACACTCAATTCTCTAAAGTTATAATAGTTTTTTCATTGTGATAATACCTTGGAATATCGTGATTCTAAATTACTCAAATTTCTTGAGGGTATAATGTCCTAATACTCCTATCCTTATACCTCCCAGCAAAATGGTTGAGTTGAATGAAAACATCGTCATATTCTTAATTTTGTTCAGGCCCTCCTCATTTCTTCTTCTTATCTTGAACGGTTTTAGGGGGAAGCTACCTTAATTGTATAAATAGAATTCCTACCTCAATTCTCGATAATATTTCTCCTTTCGAGCACCTTCATTGTATTCCTCGTGATTATAATCTTTTGAAAGTTTTTGCTTGTGTCTGTTTTGTTCTTTTACCTTCACATAAAATTACCAAATTGCAAGCCTGTGCTTGTGTCTGTTGTTTTCTTAATTATGACCCTAAATATAAGGGTTATCGTTATTGGGATCCCATATCTTTTCGCATTTGAATCTCTCGTCATTTTGTTTTTTAGGAATATATGATGTTTTCATCTTTAACCAATTTGTCCTCTATTTCTCGTCCTTCACCTTTTATGTTCACATATCTTTCGGCTGATCTATTTCCAGATGACTCTAATGTAAATTTCCCTGTAAAGCTCATGACTGACGCTATGCTTGCTCTTGATATGCCTACTGTCACACCTCGAGATATTTCCACACAAGTCATGTCCCTTGAGCCTGTATTGACTGATGATACTCGATCTCATCATGTAAGAAACCCACCCTCCTACCTTAGTGATTATAATTGACTTACCATTGTTCTCTAGTTATAGGAGCCTAAATCCTTTAAGAAAGCCTTTTGTGATCTCTTATGGCAGCAAGTTATAGACAAAGAATTGTAAGCTTTGGAGAAAATGCATACTTGGGATCTTGTTGATCTTCCTTTCGATAAAAATCTAGTTAGATGCTGATGGGTGTACAAAAATAAAACTCATTTTGATGGCTTTTTAAAGTAACATAAGGCTCGCTTGGTGGCCTAAGGGTTCACAAAGGAATATGGTGTTGATTATGAGGAGACTCTCACACCTGTTGCATGCATGACTTTTGTTCCCAGCCTTCTAGCTATTATTACTGTTAAGTACAGGTCCCTTCATCAAATAGATGTTAAAAATGCCTTTTTAAATGGAGATCTAGAGGAAGAGGGGTATATGAAGCCTCTACCTGGGTATCAATATCTGAAAGACAAGGTTTGTTATCTTCGTTGAGCTCTTTATAGGCTCAGGCAGGCTCCCCGTGTATGGTTTGCTAAGTTTAGCAACATTATGAGTTAATTAGGCTTTACTTGTAGTCCTCATGACTCGGCACCTTTTGTTCGATCTAATGCTCATGGTATTATTCTATTGTTGTTGTTGTATGTTGATGATACGATTAACACAGGTAGTGATAATATGGGAGCCTAGGAGCTTAAGACATACTAGGGCTAGAAATTTAAAATGTAGGATCTCAATATGCTAAACTATTTTTTTGGGCTTGAGGTCCACCATAAGATAAATGGTATATCTCTATCTAAGGTCAAGTATGCCATTGAATTGATATCTTAAACTCGTCCTTCTGATAAGGGGGTTGAAAGTACTCTTATTGAGCCAAACATACACTACACTTCTACTAGTGACATCTTATTGGATAATCTCACTCATTACTGTCGGCTGGTTAGGGGCCTCATCTATCTTATAGTGACCTGCCTTGACATTACTTATGTAATCCACATTGTCAGCTAATTTATGTTAGAGCCCTGAACTACTCATTATGCAGCAATTCTTCTTCGGATCATTCGATTTATCAAAGGCACTTTATATTATGGGAGTTACTTCTTAGCTAGCTCCTCTCTTGCACTGCGAGCTTATTCTGATATCGATTGGGGTGGTGATCATGATGATCAATGTTCTACAACTGGTTTTTGTATCTTCCTTGGCAATTCCCTTATCTCTTGGAGAAGCAAGAAGCAGATGTTAGCCTCCTGCTCTAGTGTTGAATCAGAATATCGTGTATTAACAGACATAACTGTTGAATTACTTTGGCTCTGTTAGTTACTTGATGAGCTAGGAGCATCTTAGAGCTCCTTCATAGACATCTATTGTGACAGTTAAGCTACAATCAAGATTTCTCATAATGATGTGTTTAATGAACAAATCAAATATAATGAGATTGACTATCACTTTACTTAGTAGCATGTTGTTAGAGGCACCATCCAACTTATTCCAATTCGAACCAAGCATCAACCGACAAATTTGTTTATGAAGTCCTTTCATCCAAGTTGCTTTCATTTCCCAATAGACAAATTCAAGTTGTTCTTTGTTAAGTCATCTTGAATTTGGGAGATGTTATCTAAAATATTCTCCGAATATTCTATCATTATTGTGTATATATTCTAGTCATTGTTAGAAGATATTATTTGATATTATTATGTAATTATTAGTTATTATTAGGTTGTCTTTTTCTTGATATATATATATATATATATAATGTACCTTTCAACTCAAATAATGTACAAGATATTTTCCCCGTACTTCCCTTGTTCGTTTCAGGCTTAAATCCGCAAGGGAATCATGTCACTCTTTTTTTTAGCCAAATATTGTGACTAATTGTTCTCAAGATGTTAATGTCTAATTTTATCACTAGATACTGAAAAGATGTATACTCTCCGTAGTGAAAATAGCAGAGCTTTGCAATGCTTTATGAGCCGCATTTTTGACACGTGGCAAGACACTTCAAAAGTTAAAGTATGTGTTTAGTTTGGCCAAAAAGAAGTGCAAGCTTTGTTAGATAACTCTGGCTCATTAACTTGATGTTCAACCTACTAGGATGATTTAAGTTTTGTAACTCATGCTTAATTATCCACAAACTTTGACATTTATCATATTTATTATTATCCACAAATTTTGATGTTTATCATATTTTTGTAGTTAATGATCTACCACGTTTTTCCATTGCTATTAGGCAAGTCAGAGCCAAGCTATACAAGAAAAATTCTCCTCCTTTTTGTAAGAAAAAAATCTAAATAAATCAAATAAAGTGTTAATAATAGTCGACTTGCATGCGCTCGTGCACGACTTGCTTAGTAGTCCCTGCAAAATCAATAACAACTGACTTGAGGGCGTGCACGCACGCATGCATCTTCACATGCGACTTCCCAATTCCAATTTGCCTTCTTTTTGAGTTAATCTTTGTACACGCTCTTACCTGTGGTGTGCAGATATATAATATATTTGTACAAAAAAAAATCCTCCCATAAAAAGTTTTCCTACAAAGGAAGATATTGCAAGTTGCAACCGCCAACGGGCGAGTTGCATGTGAATAAAGCAATGATTTTAAAATTGAACTGTCAGTCAGATTGTTGATTAGTTCAAATTTTGATTCAGTCATTATATTAAAATTATTTTAAAAGTTGAGTCGGGTTGGGTTATTTTAGATCGGCAGTCAAATTAAAAATTAAAATCAAGCCAGGAATCGGATCCGGTTTTGAAGAACCGGACTATTCAAAAGTTATCTATTTATTCATTATTTTTTTAATCATTTGATATTATATTATATCATGTGACTTGTTAAGTCATGATAAATTTAAAATATTTAATTTTTTAAGTTAGATACCAATTTTATATTTATTTCTTATATTTAGATTATTATATACATATATACTTTTTTAATTTAATTATTACGTCACCTGTTTAACCATTGATCTAATAGTTGAATTATGTAAATTGTGAAACATTAACCTTTTCTATTTAATATCCAATCTGGTTCTAAAAATATTAAAATTAGAATAAAGACCCCAAGACCAAGAAGCCAAGTCACGTGACCTCACGTCAACTGAAAGTTGATGGTTGGAAACCAACAACGGTAATAACTTACCACTTTCGGAATAAGAAGATAAAAATAATAAATAATTTACATATAATAGTTATCATATAATTATTTAAAATTTTAAAATTATTAAAATAATATAAAAATATCTATTTTATATTTTTGAATGCATTAAAAATTAAAGAGTGACATATAATTTATTAAAAATATCTTATCTTTTGCTGTTTATAAAAAAGAATAATTCTTTTTTCTCTTCAAAGTAAAGGATTTATCCTGCTCGACTTATTTAATAAAGAAATGCAAAATTATACAACGTGGGTAGTGTGACTAAGGGCGAAGATAGGAGGATTAGGAGGAGCCGAGGCTTCCTCTAGCTTTTTAATTTTTTTTAATAAAATATTAGAATTATATGTTTTTAGCTTTTTAAGTAGGCACGGTGGATAAGCTTGGAGATATGAGAATTTTCATTTTAATTTTATATGTAATTTTTATAAATATATAATGTAACTACTTCAATTCTTAAAAATATAGCTGTCATGTGATTATTAATTAAAATAATTAAATAATAAATTCAATAAGTAAATAACAAAACTTTTTAGATTAAACACAACTTTGAATCATAATGATGCATTCAAATCATTCAACGTCTAAAAAAAAATTGCTGAAAAGTTTATCAAAGACATAATAATTAATAATTTTTGCATCATAATAAATCAATGAACAAACTTAAAAATGAAAGTACATAGTTATTTTTATTATATATTTGTAAAATTAAATATATACATTGAAAAATCAATGTTATATACTCCCTCTGTTCAAAAATATTAGGCATTTTTTAAAGAGTTGAATGTTAAAAATTTAATATATTTTTAGTCTTTTAGGATGTAATCATTATCTTTTTTTAAGTGTTCATATTGATAGTGACTTTATATTTATTGTAAGGTGTTTAATAAGGGTAAATATAAAAAAAATAGGATTAGTTTGAAAGTAGGTAACTACTTTATTGGGAGTGAGATTAGGTTAAAAATGTCTTACATTTTTAAATGGAGGGAGTAAGTATATTGATAACCCTTTTTTTAGAAATTATATTGAATATATTAATATGGCAGTTTATATAAATATTTTCTTCAAATCATATATTTCTTATTAAAATATCACATATATAATAAACTTTTTGAGCTCAAATATTTTTATTTTATTTTATTTAGAGAGTACAAAATATCAAGGGTAGGAGATGCAAAGTTGTAATATTTATACATTCTAGTAATTTTTTTTTAAAATGATGAGGTGCATTTGTCCACTCTCTCAATCAAGTGACTCTAACACTATAATTATATATACTTTGTCATCTTGACCCCAAGTGTGACAAAAGTAGGCAAAATACATATAAACACTAAACCCTAAACCCCTTTTATATTTCTATAATTACGTTAGAACTAGAAGCAATGAATTTGTAATAAAAAATATTTCAACTCTCTTTTCAATTCATATATAAGTGTTTAATAGGAAACACTATATAAATATAAGACATTTTTTCAAATACTTGAGATATTTTGGATCTTTCAAAATATAATCAATAAAGTTTTTCTAAAAATATTCTTAATTAAGGGTGTAATCAACACTAAGTGCTTGTCTGTTTTGAAAACTAATACTTCCTCCATTTCAAATTATAATATATTTTTAGATAAAATCTCACATACTAATAAATCTTATTAAATACACTTAACAACTTTATTTTTCTAAAATAAAGATATAAACTTTTAAAAATATCCATTATTTAATATATTGAAAAGAGAAGGGGCACAAATTTATCATAGAGAGAGAAAGGGTGATATTAGAATTGATGCATTTAATAAAATTTTAATTTACCCAAAGTGTCTTATATTTTGGGATGGCAAAACTCATTCAAAACTATCTTATAATTTGGGATGAAAGGAGTATTAACAAGCCATTGAGATGCTAAATGCAGGATTAATTTTGGCTAGTTGACCCAACCTATGAGCTTGACTTGCTTGTTTTCCTAGGAAATCGAATGCTTAAACTGCACGTGTTTGGAATGCTTGTTTCGAGAAAAATCCCATGGCAAAAATTATTTGCTCATGTTTGTTGAAATATTTAGAAAGATAGATGCAAAATCATTTACTCTACAGAAAATAATCCTGAGAGAGACATCGCTTTTATTAGCATCTAGGATATTTTCAATGATCTATGTCTTCAATCTAAAATTAATTTTCTGAACCAGCAGGGCGATAGAACAAATGCTAAATGGTTATGTCCTATAGATGGATGGGTTAGACTTGATATCGATGGCTCAGTTAATAATTAAGGTGCTACTTCCTATAGTGGGCTCATAATAAAAATATCTTGATTAAAAGATTCTCCAAATATCTTGATTACCATTCGTGTACGGGAGCTAAGCTTTTAGAAATATTGAAAGGACTAAACATTTGTTGGGAGAAGAAGATAGACAAAGGTTATGTCTACTTAGACTCTATGGAAGTCCTGATGTTAATATGCAACGAGTTATCTACTAATCACCCGTTAATTGCCACTATCAACAAAATTAAAGATCTGATTATGAGTGACTGAACAGTTACTTTTGATCATATCTATAGGGAGACAAATAAATGCGTAAACTGGTTGGCTCATCAAGCTCCTACGAAAAATTTCAATATTTAAATCTTGATACTCCTCTCCTAGGATGTAAAGATTTTTTATATGCTGACGTGACATAATATGTCTGCACGGTATTTTCATGGCTTTTTTATTAAAAAAAAAGAAAAAACGCACACGTTTTTCTGTGGACATCTCTGTAATCCCACTTTACGTGAAAAGTGATGTCCAATGAATATTTACAGTTCAAAATAATTGAAACCTTAAATCTGCACCTACTAAGTAACATCAAATAGGAACGTGCGTTAATGTAGCTCGTTTTATAAATGAATGGTTATAAATCATACTATCTCTAGTCCCATTTATAAAAGAAAGAAGGAAGAATTTTTATTTTATTTTATAAATCATCTCTTTAATTTTTTTTATTATAATTTTTTCTTTTACTTTCCATTAAATGTTGGTGAGAGAAAGTGTATTATTAAATGATATTCTCTCCGTTAAAAATATAAGACATTTTTAACCGAATCTTACCCCTCAATAAAGTAATTATTTACTTTTAAATTAACCCTATATTTTTATATTTATCTCTATTAAAAATCTTATAATAAATATAAAGTCATTATCAATAGGGATACTTTTAAAAAAAAGACAATAATTACACTTTAAAAAATTAAGAATGTCTTATATTTTTAAACAGAGGGAATATATATTTGATAAGAATAAAATTAAAAACTTATTAAATTTTTGGACAAATATAATAAATTTTAAAAATTTCCTTGATTATGATAAAACATATTTACAGTAATTTACAAATATGATTAAAAAAATATATTCTAAAATAAATTAGCAATTTTAATTTATAGACGAATAAGGTCTATATTTCAATCAACATGACGATCTTGCATTTTCTTTTGATTAAAAAAAAATACTCACCTCATTTAGTGATAAATATATGAAAAATTTCTCGCATGATCCCGCTACATCATATCTGTATTTTGTCCAACATAAACATATTGGGTTAGTAATAAAAACTTATTACAGGCATGTTTAATTAGATAGAGTATGAATAACATATTATAGGGGATCTAGCAAGAATTTATCTAATGTATGAAATTATATAAAGAGAAAATATAAGTTAATTAAGGACATTAATTGAATGATCATCCTATACAGTGAACTTGTAAAAGTTGGCCAAAAAAACAAAGGGGCAAGAAAAAACTTTTAATCTGAAAACCAAATTGTACGCGTATCAGACGCGTCTGCGTGAGAAATAACTTGAAATGAAATATTCAACGCGCTGTCACGAGACTCCTGCATATTATGCAGAGTGGGAACTGGGAACTGGGACCAGTGGCTTCTATTCTATTTATACACATTTTCGAAGTATATATCTTAATTAAGAGATTAAGAGATTCGGGTTGGTTAATTCCAAGGCCGCAACCTTGTGGGAGTTGAAGGTTGAATTCTATTCATCTCGCATCGCCCTGTTTCTTTTCTTTAAATTTAAACTACGTACTCACTAGGCACTAGCTGTTTCACACACCAAACACTCGAGGATTGCACATTCTCTCTGGTTATTCACTGCTTTGTTTTCTTTCCGTTGAAACAGATGTCATCGGAAAAGGTGGTTGCGGATCAGAAGAGCGTGAACCAGCGCGAAGCTTGTGATGATTGGCGAAAGCTACCCAGACATGACTCTCTCGACATAGAATCTCGAACCTTCTCCAATCCAAACGCTCATCATCGTTCCTCCAAGGTATAATCTCAGTTTCATTCATTCATGATTATTATTATTATTATTAGTTTCATTTAAATTAATGGGGGTGCATGTATGCAGGAGCAATCGATGTGGGCGATGATGCAGCTGGCGTTTCAAAGTATAGGAATAGTGTACGGGGACATCGGAACGTCGCCGCTTTATGTGTATGCCAGCACCTTCACGGACGGCATCAATCATAACGACGACGTTTTGGGAGTTCTTTCCATGATCATTTACACCATCACTCTCATCTCTCTCATTAAATACGTCTTCATCGTTTTGAAGGCCAATGACAATGGCGACGGTAAGTACATACCCTCTCGATCCCTTCCTCATCTTCTTCATTCACTTTCCCATATTTATTCAGCATACGCTCATTCTATTACGTCAAAGAAATAAATTAAGTTGTTTTCTTACCTTCAAAAAATAAACTTAATTTACGCCGGAAACAAAAAATCATTCAAATATTGTTATATTAATGTGGACAGTCACGGTAATTATACAGATATGTGTGCCTTTCAAAAGGAAAAAAAGTTTTGGTAACGCGCTGTGAGCTTCGTGCACATAGGTGGGACATTCGCATTGTACTCTCTTATATGTCGCTATGCCAAAGTCGGGCTTATTCCGAATGAGCAATCGGAGGACGCAGAGGTATCTAATTATAGGTTAGAGTTGCCTCATAGCAGAAGAATGAGGAGGGCTTCAATGATCAAATCGAAACTCGAGAATAGCCAATTTGCTAAGCTTTTCCTTCTGTTCGCCACTATGCTTGGTACTTCCATGGTCATTGGTGATGGTGTTCTCACTCCCTGCATTTCTGGTCTCTCTCTCCTTCTCTCACTCTCTCTTTATGTTTCTCTCTGAGGGAAATCAGAAAGAAAGTTCATAATTAATTATGAAATATTTCATTTGGCTGCTGCAGTTTTATCAGCTGTTGGAGGCATCAAGCAGGCTGCTAAATCGATAACAGACGGTCCGTATCTGTTCCATTTATTATTGAAACGGCATGATAAAAGGCATAAAAACACTGTCAAAGATGCAATGTTTCAGGGGCGCGCGCGCCCTTCAAATACATTCGCATGTTAAGTGAAAGACAAACACGAAAGACGGTTACGCTTTAACAATAAGATTTGCCATGGGAAGAAAAAAAGAATGAAGTAATTAAAAATTTGAGAAGATTTGAACATCAAATATATTTTATTAATTAAAAATATTTTATTTTAATTATCATAATATTTGAATTATTATTATTATTTTATTTAATTTTAAAATTTTAAAAATTTCTCGCATTTAATTTCAAGGTTAAGATTGAGGCAATAGGGCATTAATTCATTTGTTTTGTATATATATTTAATTGAATAAGAATTATTATTATTATTTTACCTTTTCTTTGGGTTTTCTCTTATTATTTTTTCTATTGATCCCTTTATTTTCTACATTCTCTGCCCGCTTCTCCTTACGTGTTTTGTATCATAAGGTAAGTGATGATAATATTCATCTACGGTAATTTCTTTTCTTTAAATTTTTTTTCCGGCTCTTGGCACACAGATGGGGTTGTTTGGATGTCCGTTGCAATCTTGTTGTGCCTTTTCATGGTCCAAAGATTCGGAACTGATAAAGTGGGGTACAGTTTTGCTCCCATTATCTGTGTTTGGTTCACCTTCATCGGAGGCATTGGTATTTACAACCTTATCAAGTATGATCCAACAGTCCTAAAAGCATTGAATCCCGCATACATGATAGATTATTTCAAAAGGAATAAGAAAGACGCTTGGATTTCTCTCGGTGGGATAGTGCTGTGCACTACAGGTTTCATGTCGTCAATTCCAGTTAGTTTCACCTGCAATATAATAAAATTATTTATACTAGCTAGCCATTCCTAACTCGGAGTTGATGTGGGGAACAAATTAATTTGCAGGAACTGAAGCACTATATGCTGATGTTGGACATTTCAGTGTTCGGTCTATCCAAATCAGTATGTGTTCTGTGACATACCCTGCTCTAATATTGGCTTACACGGGGCAAGCCTCCTTTCTTCGCAAACACAACGATGTTGTTGGAAACACCTTCTACGAGTCGATTCCACGTATGCCAATGCAAACCCTCAGAACCTTGAACACGTTCGCCCCTTTCTTCAATTAATCACTTAATAAGTGTTAATTATAACATATTTTTGGTTATTATTGCAGACGCTTTGTACTGGCCAATGTTTGTGATTGCCGTTGCAGCAGCAATCATAGCTTCTCAAGCCATGATCTCTGGAACTTTCTCTATAATCCAACAATCCCTTTCGTTGGGTTGCTTTCCTCGCGTGAAGATCGTGCATACTTCTTCCAAGTACGAAGGACAAGTTTACATTCCTGAGATTAATTACATCTTGATGATAGCTTGTGTTGCCGTCACTCTTGGATTTAGAGACACCACAAAAATTGGCAATGCCTACGGTAATTATCATTCCATGAATTCTCGTGGATACTCAAACTTTATATCTTGCTTCCTAACGTAAAACAGGCAACATAAATTCTTGACTGTTATAGTTCTAATGAATAGTTTCATGCATTTTTATGCAGGGATAGCTGTGGTTTTTGTAATGACACTGACATCAGCTTTACTTGTGCTTATCATGACCATGATATGGAAGACACACTTTCTCCTAGTCATCGGCTACGTAGGTATATTCTTTTCTGTGGAGCTTCTGTATTTAAGCTCAGTGTTGTACAAATTTAACCAGGGAGGGTATCTTCCTCTTGCCTTCGCTGTGGTGCTCATGACGATCATGTACATCTGGAACGACGTGTACCGAAGGAAGTACCACTTTGAGCTGGACCACAAGATTTCTCCAGAGAAGCTCAGGGAGGTTGCTGCTGACGCACAAGTTTCCCGAATTCCTGGGTTGGCCTTATTCTACTCTGAGCTCGTTCAAGGTATCCCACCTATTTTCCAGCATTATGTGACAAACGTGCCTGCGCTGCACTCTGTTCTTGTCTTTGTGTCCATCAAGTCGTTACCTATTAGCAAAGTTGCCACGGAAGAGCGATTCTTGTTCCGCAGAGTGGAACCCAGAGAACTTAACGTGTTCCGTTGTGTAGCGAGATATGGCTACACTGACGTGCGCAACGAGCAAGAGCCTTTCGAGAGATTATTGGTTGAGAGGCTGAAGGAATTCATTTCCGGAGAGGTTTGGGTGTCACAGAGAGTACTGATACAGAATGTTGAAACTGAGGAGGTTGAAGATGGAGTCCAAGAGACTCGTGGTGATGAGAGACAGCAAGAGGCTGTTAAAAGAGACATCGAGGCCGTTGAGAGAGCGATGAGAGCAGGTGTTGTGCACTTGATTGGTGAGAGCGAGGTGGTTGCTAGCGAAGGAGCCAACATTGGGAGCAAGATCTTGATCAATTATGCTTACAACTTTCTGAAGAAAAACCTGAGGCAAAGTGACAAAGTGTTTGATATTCCTCATAAGCGTTTGGTCAAGGTGGGTATGACGTACGATCTTTAAATAATCAGAGCACGCCTATTATATACTGTGCTTAATTTTATGTATTGTATGGATGATTCCAAAAGCCTTCTTTGGTAGAGCTTTGAAACTTTAAACTTGGTAGGGTGCAAGTGGCCAGTTCTATTATTAGAGATAGAAATGAGTTTTTGTGTGGTATATTTATGCCATGCTTGGTTGGTACATATGATGCTCCATTATTCCAGTACAAAAGAGAATTTTAAGAAATTGGATTTAAATTCTCAAACATTGACATATTTGAATTTTAGGAAGTCTTTCTCTCTCTTTTTTAATGTTTTTTCATTTTATTATTTTTTTAATCAAATATAAAATTTCCTTTTTGTTCCTACAAATTTCACAAAAATTTATAGATATTTCAACTTCAAAGAATTTAAGTCCTCAAAAAATCATAAGTTAATTTGTACTCTCTAATGCAACATCTAGTCCTAATTATTGGTTTGTACACTAATTTTAGTCTTGGAGCATCTCTTAAAAGTTCAATTAACTTTCAAATTTAAGGCTTATTTGGTTGGAGGGGAGAGGACGGAAAGGGAATAATTTTCCTTCCCAACCCCTCCAATTTCTTCTCCCCTCTATTATGGTATTCCAAAACAAGGAAAAAAGAGCTCTTGCTTTCTCCTTATCCCATTCAAACAAGGAGAAGTTCTGTCCAATTAAATAGAAAACAGAGAGTTGGTATTGTTGATAAGTCAATTTGGGGAGTTCAAAATTTCAGATATTAAATATGACAATAATTAACCATATGAGGAAGGTAGAGCCACAAAAAACGTGGTCGCATTAGGGGATATAGGGCTTTGAATTCAACTAGAGACAAATATTACCTACTAATCAAGGAAATTGGATACCGGACAACTAATGACCATTCCAATGAGTCAACCGATCGCAGACAAAAATGAGCACACTAAATCAAAATAAAGTGATCATATTACTAGATAACAATCAAACCGCAGTTTTTTTAAAGTAAAAGTGCGTATAAGAGAGCATTATGTAACTGCCACATTGCTCCAAACTACGGCTAATAACTCAACAAGTTTCCACTTCATAATCATATAATCATAGCTTCAAAAACGGCCACAAATACTTCGCTCCTTATCTGGATATCGATGATTAAGCGGGAATTATAAATTTCCCCTGAATTTATAATCACCTCGTAAAATTAACACTCTCTTGTTCCGAAACTATAAGAGATGAAATGACCCCTTATAATAGGTGTTTCAATCCTCACACATAATTATATACATAGTAGCAAAGAAGTCCAAAAAATGGGGTCACAGAAGCAATTGCAGAAGGTAAAAGTCCAAAAAATGGGGTAGCAGAAGCAATTGCAGAAGGTGCTAATCATCAATTGGAAATCCTAAAATCCCACGGTTATATGTGGGTAATTATAAATGATAAGATTGTTCAAAATTTTATTCACCAAACACGGGAAATTTAATACATTTCTTAATTCTTAATAGATTGCTTTGAGCTAGGGAAATGTCGGGAAAAAAAAAACCTTTGATATACGAGGCAGCGCCTATTGCCTAAGCGTCATAGATTCTATTTGAGCTGATAATCCCACTTAGACAGATACCTACAACAACTTTATTATTATTCAGATATAATAGATGATTCAAGATATTTTCTTTCAATTAATCCACCGGCCCCGAGAGTAAAGCCCGCTTGCACTTGCTCTTCCAACGAACAGTTAGCAAAAGCAAGAAATTCCAATTTATATCTTAATCAATTGACATACAATTTCATTAAAATTAAAATACACTAATTAAACACTCTTTTAAACTCCCAAGTTGATTAATTGTCACTTGTCAGGATGAAGGAATGCATGTCTGTTAATCATTAATCCAGTTCATCACTTCTGATAGTAAATTAAAGCTTATCATTGAACAAGAAAAGTACAAAGATTAGCTAGCCATATATATACATATATATAAAACCCGCATAATCCTCAGCTAGCTAGTATCTGTAATATAGAGTCATACCCAGCAATAATTTAACCCTGATAAATTAAACAAAGCACCACTACACCTGAATAAATATATATTTGCGCCATCTTCATTTGTATGCACCAATTAATTATACCGGCATATATCTAAGTAATATGAATATATCTGATCAAAATTAGGGAAGTTATTAAGAAAGGTAGCTAGTAGAGTTTGAAAACTGGCGTGACTGATGAGAGGTGCCATTGAACTTCATACCAGACGGAGCTCCCCTAGGAGGCTCGCCTTCATATTCATATGACTGGTCAGCAGCAGTATTAGTTTCATGGGTATGAAGATCGTAACCCTTATTTTGGTTAGATCTCTCCCCCTCAGATTCCCTGAACTTAAGCAAATACCTCTTGAGCGGCTCGGCGTAGTCATCAAACCCTAGAGTAGCGAGGGCCCAGCAAATATCATCGCCATTCACCGTCTTGCGCTTCTCCTTGTGACACTTGTCAGAGGCCTCCCCGGTGACGAAGCTTATGAACTCGGAAACACATTCCTGCATGGTTTCCTTGGCTTCTTTGGATATTTTGGCGTTCGGAGGCAGAATTTGCTTCATGATCCTCCCCACATTAGCTATCGGAAGCAAGCGATCTTGCTCCTTGATGACTTCCCCGTCTTGATGATGATGAAAAGCGCCTGTGTTGTTGAAGCTGTACTTATTGAAGCCTTCTCTCTCTGAGTTATCACTCATCTCTCTGTACCACAAGGAGAGATTAACTCTGGTCCTCTCAAACACAGACACGTTGCTCCCTGCACTGCCCAAGTGCCCTAATATATATATTTATAGACAGGTGACACAAATCTAAAGAGCTCCCATGTTTATGCAAGATCATATGTGCATGTATGCGCACCATCCATTTTTAGAATCAGAAATAAAAATCAGACTTGAAAATTCTATTTAAATAAGGGTTTAAATTTTTAAAATTAATTTTTTTTAAAATAAACAAGCTTAAAAGCCTAACCTTGATAAACTCTATAAAAAAGGATTAGAACTCGGGTAGCCTTTCAAACCCTAATAAGTCTGGTTATTTTAAATATATATATACATACACATACATATACATACATACATACATACATACATATATATATATATATATATATTTGATTGATAATGACACAATTTAGTTAATATTTATTGTTGGTGATGAAAAAGAAGTTGTAGAAATAATTGACAATTGAATCTTCACTTACATCTTCAACAAGTGAACCTATATCTAAGATATTTAATATTTTATTTTTAGATGATGACGAGAAAGATTTAGATTTATGTTGATGGAAATTTTAACTTTCATCTTAAATTTAAAATTTTAAATCTTTGTTAAATTTTATATGAGACTTTGATTTATTTTATGTTGAATTTTAAAATATTTTATTTGAATAATTAAAATGTTGAATTTTTTTGAGAAAGAAGGCTCGAAAGCCCTACCCTAAACCTTTTAAATAAGAGCTGGACTTCAAAATTAAATTAAATTTTAGATAATCAGACTTTAGGTTTGAACCTTTAAGGGTTGGGATGCCTTAGTTCTCACCTCTATCCATTTAAGAGAATATTTTGGGCAAGGAGCATCTTGTACAGCTACCCTGACAGAAGATCAATGGATGTATACCAGCCATTGATTTAGGAGAAGATTGTGAAGAAACTTATTTATCATTGTGAAATTAAATATTATTTATACTTAACTAGAATTAATCTCGAAGTTATTTGACCATGATGACGCGGCAGGTCATGAACAGGACCAAGTCAGATTCACTGGGGAATACAGTGAGAGGCAATTGATACCTTTGTTGCTGTGAGTTAGGTTTACATATATCTTTTTTATGCAACCACATACATACATGTACATATTCTTAAATATATATATATATATATATATATATATATATAGTTCGCATGGGGCCATAAACTTCCCTGGCAGCTTTAAAGAAAGAGACGCAAAACATATCAAGTACACGGAGGGCATGGTCCCATCCCGTTCTGGCTTTAATCAGTAGTCTTTACTTCCTTTATAAAGTTAATTAATTATTTGATTAATTAATTGATTGATGTAATTAATGCTGTCCATAATTTCGGGCTAAATACAGTAAATAATGCTGTAAATTTGAATTTGTGGACGATATGAGTGCACGTCGCTTTTGTTGTTTTGCGCAACCAAACTAAGGCCTAAAAAGAGCCGATGAGAATAAAAATTATTAAGCTCCCATACCACAGGTCGCCATTTCATCACCTACGTACGATGAATTTAACGGTTCTTCTAGATTGAAATTTAGAAATGGTTCATGAGCACCTGTTAGAATACAATTGGATTGAAAGATCAAATTCCATTTATTTATAGTCAGGTAGATGATCACTGTTCGATCGTTATATAAAAATTCAAATGGAGTTTAGATATTATATACACACACGCACTGTTTGTGTTATATACTTCTTTTAGGATATACCTTGAGGCCAAGGCAACTAGCCATAGTTATATTTCAAATCAGATTTGCGTGACATGATAAGCTAAATCCAAATTAAATCCTAAAATTTACATTTAAGAGATATGATGTCAAGAATATATTTGTGACGAACCATCGCAGATGAATCTACCTAGTGTTGCTTAGTTTTGTGATATAGATATTTAACTCCCACGTTGAAAAAGAATAAAAATTCGAAAGCCTTTAAATAAAAACAAAAATGCATTCCATGTATTTACTTGTAATTTAAAATGAGCAACATTGTTTAATTACGATTTGTGAAACAAAATGAATCTTTCTACAAGATGCATAATCCTTAATTTCTCCTTCTTATTCCTAACCCCAATAGTCATGTACCAAATTCTTTTAATTTGTTTTCACCCTTTTTTTTAAATAAAAAGATGCAGTACGTCTTGCTGATGATAGCTTGATTCTTTTCGAATCAACAAGTTAAATAATTCAACCGGTGCATATGAATTTATTAGTCATAATGTTCATTATTGTGCTTCACTAAACCTTTTTCACATTCTATACACACACATGAAAATGACAAACTCTCTGACTTCAATTGAGATTTGAAGACACACCCACGCCCACTCACGCATATATGCATTACTGAATGCACCGGTTCCTTTATGTTTTATAATTTCATATCAAAGGAAAATTTAAGATAATTTAATCATTTTACTTTGAATCTCCAAAAACAAAGATTCGAGATAAGATTATAGAGAGAAGGGGGGGGGGATATATATGGAAAGAAGTTATTCCATGCGGAGCTACCAGGCATAATCTCCCACAGGGAATTGCGTCGAAGTTTTCCCTCAAACGTTTTATAGTTTCATTATTTTTTTTATATGTTTACGGGAAAGCAAACAATTGAACATTTCCTTGTTCCCTGTCTATGAATCGATCATTTTTCAAGTAAGTAAATTATCCTCTCATTTCTCCATGGGGATGTTTAAATATCATGTATTTCATCATTTTAATATATATATATATATATATATCTTAAAATAAAGTTTAAATATCCTTAAAAAATATTAAGGCTTTGCGAATGACAGTATACTTTCTAAATTAAATTTATATGTCGAATACATTGTAAAAATTATAAATTTAACCAGTTTAAATACGTATTTCATAATTAGTGGTTATTAGTATATATACTTAAACCTAATATAAAACATTTACCAAGTTTCATTATGCATAAACCATGAATAATGCAATTTCATTAGTACTAAATATAAGGATATATTATTTAAAATAAATGCAATTGTCACTAATTTTTTTTAACAATTAAGTTTTATTGGACAGATAGGATATTTGTTGGCGACACCGGCAGAATCGCGAACGGCAAGGTACGAATTGCTTGAGTCATGTTCGGAAGGACATTGTCCTTAAGAATTATTCCGGCACACCTTCCGACGACCGGCAGTTCCCCAGGATTAAACAAGCACTTCCTTGGCAGAACGAGGGAACAGAACAATGGAGACTAAATGTAAACACAGACGAACACAGACGAATTGATAGAGGGAGGAGAGAATCCCAAAAACTCAAGAGGCTTGTACCGCTCTGTTTGCACCCATGGCTATATATAGCCCGAAGGTGGACATGAACGTTGGGGGGTTACCACCGGATTAAAGGCTCGGTTACACTATCATAAAATCGTTTAAATACTTGTCTGGAAACGTTGGGGTTACACAAACGTAAAATGCATTTAACCTCCTATCTGGAAACGTTGGAAAGACAAAACATTTAGAAAATTAATTTAGTTAATGATCAAAAAATGTTCTTGGTTTGATTTCAAACTTCAGACAATCAAGAATTGAGTTTCTCCGGTAAGCCAAAAATAATTATTTATTTTGTAAAAATAATTCAATAAAAGAAACCCATTACCTCATGAACTCGCGCACAGGGGGGTGAATCGGCTGATTTCAACTGCGATTGCCCTGAGTTGGCCTATCTCATGTGCGCGAGACCACTTCTCCTCCAAGCCCATTTTACTAGCCCACTTCATTCCTTAGTATATATACATTAGGAGAGTCTTTCTTTTAGTCAATGTGGGACTTTGACACACACACTTTTGACACACATACAACAATATTTAGTGCAAGAAGGTGGCTCAAATAGGTAAAGATTATATTTCCAACTCTCTAAATTCCTAACCTAAATTTTTAAATAGGTTAAAGTATACTTTTACTTCTCTAACTTTATATAAGGTCTTGATTTGATCATTTAATTTTATAAAGTATCTTTTCAGTCTTTTAACTCTAATATCGTTAATTTTAAATGATTATTTTTTGCATCAACTATTATTATTTTGAAAGTTCAATGTAAAAATTTATTGAGATAAAACTAACTGTGTTAGAATTAAAAAATTAAATAGACACTTTATAAAGTTAATAGACTGAAACATATACAAAATTAAAAGACTAAATGTATACTTTAATTTTTTAAAAATATATCTTCAGAGCAGATAATATCATCATGGAAAGTCAAGTAGTTTTATTGGATGTTTAGGATCTCAAATACAGAGAGTCTCATCATATACAGTTGAGTTATTATTTTGATCCTATTATTAATTAATAAAAAATAGCAAACACGCGATAAAACTGACAATAGAGTTTCTAAATTGGGATATTAGTTATCATATTATAATACTAGTTGACAGTAAATATAATAATGGAAGTTAAACCATAATCTCGAAAAGAAATAGTAGGCGCTTCCAACTCTTGCCAATAGGTAAAATTCTATAAATAAATATTGAAAAAACACAATCTTTAGTCTTTATAATTTTATTGGGTTTTTTTTAGTCCTTGTAATTTTTTTAATGTTTTCAATGCTCATAGTTTTAGAAAGGTTAGATAATTTTTATTTTTCAAGTCCCTATAATTTTCATTTTTTAGTGGTTTTAGTCAAGATACTGAAAACCAGACCAGTCACTAAATCGGTCAAGTCAATGAGTCATGGGTTAATAGTTCAACCGAAGTTGAGCCAAGGATTAATCCGGAAGGCAAATCAGTCATGATTAAAATACAACAATTTAAATAAAAAATATTAATTATAAAAATATTCAATCAAATTCAAGATTAATTTCTAATACAAGATACAAGTACAACAATAATTATAAAAAAAAACAGCCATCCAAAAATTTAACAATAATAAAATATAACATTCCAAATATTCCTTCTTACAAATACAATCTCTTAATCATTAAAAATTTTAAAACTAATAATTACCAACACCAAAATTATCGTTAACTTCATCCAAATCTCTAAGTATTGAGACATTAGGAGTTGAATAAGAAAAATCAAAACCACTAGC